AAAACAAATTGTTGGTATGTATAAATATTTAATTTCTAAAATGAAATAAAATAACTTTAGATTCCAGCGCTTTGTAAAGATTACAAAGTTCAAGGTATAACGGTGATTGACAGCGATGGTCGGAACTGTAACGACGTGGTGGGGTACCTCTCTGTGTACAGGATCTGCTTCGCTATGGCTGGCTTTTTTATCCTGTTCTGCCTTATAATGATCAACGTGAAGTCTTCTAAAGACCCAAGATCTGGCATCCAAAATGGGTAAGAGTCTGCTCTATACCATACATGTCTGTTGTATCCCTTTGACAAAATAAGGACAATTAAATTAACCTACTATAGGTACATGTATTGGTAGTAGTGATTTAAGTATATATTTTTACACCCACCTGTGTATATGTAGGACCTTTTTCCTTTAAAAACATGTTCATTTACATGTATAATCTTATTTCAGTTTTTGGGCCTTTAAGATTCTTATTCTAATTGCTATCTGTGTTGGAGCCTTCTTCATTCCAAGAGGAGACTTTGGTATTGGTAAGTATATACTCTTTTTTTTTTAAACATGCATCATGTAAATGGTATTTTTTCTTTCGAAGGTTTCAACAAATTTTATCTACATAAAAAATGTTAAGAAGTGTTTTATATTCTTCTTCATAAATTTGCTTTATATATATATTATTGTCAAATAAAATTTCCTGGTATTAATTTATTTTTGGAGAAAAAAAAACTTTCATCATTTTCATGTATTTATTTTGAAGTAAAATCTTTGTTTTATTAAAACTGGAAATTTGGCCTCAGCTACTTTTTGTTTCAATTCTTTTTTAAAAAAAATACAGGTATCAGTAAGTGCATGGTATGTTATACAAATTCAGAAGGGTATGAGAGAAAAAGGAAAACACCTGTTTTTCACAAGAAGCCTATAATTTGAGAGAGAAATTCTGGAATTATTTTAACTTAATTCTGTCCCAGTCTGGTTCAGAAGCAATTTTCACAAAAACTGTGCCTATATATACCGGTACATATACATTCCTGATGTATTAAGGCTATTTACCATGAAATGGATGTTTGATCTGATTGGTTGTTTGATTGGCAGCCTGGATGTACATTGGTTTGATTGGAGCGTTCCTCTTCATCATCATCCAGCTGATTCTCTTGATTGACTTCGCGCATGGCTGGGCCGAGAGCTGGGTGGAGAAATATGAAGAAACAGAAGCTAAATGCTATTATTTTGGTAAGGTGGACCAGTTGTATTATTTTGGTAAGGTGAACCAGTTCTATATTTTTGGATGGTTAGCATTTGGAAAATAATTTTATAAAATTCAAAATATTATTTGCATACCTTTCAATCCTAATGCAATTTATAGTAGACAAAAAAGTTCTTTTTTATGTAATACATGTAATGCACAGGTACAAGTATGTTACATGTATTTTATCCCCCCCCCCCCCCAAAGAAAAGGAAGAAAAACAAAACAAAACTTCTTATAATTGATAAATATGCATGTATGAACTTCTTTACTATAATTAAACTTTTGTCCCTAATTTTGAGTAATGCTGAAAAATCAGAGACACTTTATTATTCTGAAGGATCAGGGATTAATTCTCTTCTCAATATCTGAGTTCTATAAAAGGACTAAGTCCCAATTGGAAATTGCCAATTTTTCCCCAAATTTAAGATTATATTCCCATTCTATAATTGTATTCTTTCTATAAACCTCCCCGTATGTAAATTGATTTAAAGTGAGTATTTGGTGGTGGTTTAAATGCTCAAATTTCTCAAATTTAATTTTTCTTTACTGTTCTGTGATTCATTATTCTTTTTAAGATTTAGATGATTTTATAAAGCATTACACAAGAAAAACACATCCCAGCTTTATACTTTTTTACTTAAAATTCTCAAGTGAAAGAGTACAGGAACCTGTCCCCAAAAAAGGACTTTATAGTACTTAAAAGGACTTAAAAGGACTTAAAGGACTTCACTTCGCTATTTTACATTTTTTAATTCTAATGGTTCAAGCACTGTTGATATGTTGGCATCAAGTCAGTTGTGTCATAAAATTGAACATTTTAATGTATTACCTCCTACAGAAATATCAGATCATTGCCTTATAACTGCAAGCATTAATATGAACACAAATGTGTTTTGCAATGAAAAATATAAAATGCACTCTTTGAAGGGGAAATATCTCTGGTCAAGCACTTGTAAAAACCAATATGCAGAAGCTATTAATGAGGAAGAAACTAAAAATCAAATACTAATGTTGGATAATTTACTTGACCAAATATATGATGATAACACATATGATTCAAATGATCTTGTCTATAAACTATCAAGTATTATAATTAATGCAGCTAATAAAAGTGTTCCATTTAAACCTGCAAAATTTACAAAATCACAACGAAAAAATAAACAGAGACCAAAATGGATGACTACAGATTGCTTACTCCTACGAAAAGAAGTTAGAAATTTAGGGAAGAAAGTACACAAATATCCACACAACTGTGAACTAAAACATGCCTTTGCAAAATGTAGAAAAGATTATAATAAACTAAGAAAAAGTCTTAAATCTAATTTTTACAATAGTATTGCAGAAGAAATTAACACGCTTTCGCCACAAAACTCCAATAAATTTTGGAATAAGATAAAAGAAAATAAATCAAAGAAAACTAATGCAGAAACAATTGGAATTTCAGAATTCGTTGACCACTACAAATCCTTACTGAACATTCAATATACTGATGAAGAGAGCTTGAAATACAAGTACACTGAACTAAATACTGAACCAAATCCATTAGACTTTTTGTTTACTCAAGATGAAATAGAACAAAGCATTTTAAAGCTGAAAAATGGTAAAAGTGCGGGGCCTGACTTAATTTTAAATGAGTTTATTAAAATAAACAATACTACCCTTTTACCTGTCCTTACAAAACTGTTTAATATTCTACTTAAAAATGGAAAAATGCCCAAAGAATGGAACCTTTCACTTATAACATCATTATACAAAAATGGTGATCCTAATAATACAAACAATTATAGGGGTCTCAGTGTTACAAGTTGTTTAGGAAAACTTTTTACAGGCCTTCTACAGAAACGCTTAGATAATTATCTTGAGTCAAATAACCTACTAAGTCAATATCAATCTGGATTTAGAAAAGGTCATAGGACCACTGACAGTATATTTGTACTAAAAACACTTGTAAACAAATATCTTTATACAAAGAAACAGAATTTATATGTGTGCTTTGTAGATTTTTCAAAAGCATTTGATACTGTGTGGAGATCTGCACTTTTATACAAATTGAATAAAAAGGGTATTGGTGGTAACTTTCTCAAACTTTTGACAGACATGTATACAAATACATACTATTCTTGTAAAAAGGACAATCAAATGAGTGAAAAATTTAAAGCCAATAGAGGAGTCAAACAAGGTGATAATTTAAGTCCAACACTTTTCAATATCTTTGTTGATGATTTTGTGAATTATCTTAAAAATGTAAGCACATATCTTGCATATCTAGATACTATGCCAATAAATCATATGTTTTTTGCTGATGATCTGGTCCTTGTATCAGAATCAGAAGTTGGTCTACAAAACTGTATAGATGTTTTAGGAAAATATTGTTCAGACTGGAAATTGTGTGTTAATATGGATAAAACAGATGTTATGATTTTTTCAAGAAAAACAGATGATGAAACATCATTTAGATTTTATTACAATCACCAAATGATTAACATAACGAATGAATATAAATATTTGGGTGTTGTGTTCAGATCTGATGGAAAAATGAAATTTGCAGCTGAACAACTATCAGAACGTGCTAGGAAAGCATATTATGCTATTAAATCAAATTTTCCTGCAAACATTAATTTTTCAGCTGAAATTATGTTAAAATTATACCAGTCAATGATAATACCAATTATTACATATGGATCTGAAGTATGGATAACTGACTTCAAATGTGATTTAATGTCTTCAGACCAATTTCCTTTTGAAAAAACACAACACTTAATATTTAAAGACATACTAGGGGTACATAGAAAGGCATCAAATCTTGCTGTTTTATGTGAATTGGGTCGTTTTCCTTTGTACTATTTATGTTATGAATATATGTTTAAATATTTTAAGAGACTTAAGGAAATGGAAAACAAACATGATTATAATAATTATTTAGTGATTTCTGCATTTAAAGAAGACAAAAAACTTGTATCTAGAATATCTTGGCAAAGAAAATTGTCTTCATTACTACAAAAATTAAATATCACTTCTTTGGATATTTCTCACACAACCTTGAAAAACAAATTACAAGAGCATTACCAAAACAAGATACATGAACAACTGAAAAATATAAGCAAATCAAACTCTGGAAAGTTAGCTTTTTATAGTAAAATTGTAATTCAAAATGAATACAAATTGCAAAGTTATTTAAAGCTGCCTTTAAAGAAAAGTTTTAGATCTGTATTAACAAAATTAAGGATCAGTGCCCATCCACTGTATATTGAAACGGGCAGATACTGTAAACCCCCTATTCCTAGAGAAAAACGTTTATGCTATTCATGTAAATTATTTATTGAAGATGAAAAACATTTTGTTCTATACTGTTCAAAGTATGACCAATTTAGATGCAATTATACTGATATATTTAATGAAAACACATATACTAGTGATAATCCCATTAGAAAAATTGTCAATCCTACAAATATTACAACTGCTAGAAGGATATGTTGTTTTTTGAAAAAGTGCTTTGACACCAGAAAAGAAAGTCAGCAATGAATACTTAGAAATATGTGAATATACTCTACATTATTTTGTTCAACTCACATTTGTCACTTTGTATATGTATGTATTATTCTTGTTAATTCGTTTTATGTCATGACTGTATGCCGACATGGTAATTGTCAATAAAGTGAATTGAATTGAATTATAAGCCCTGAGGAAGATCAGCTCTTTTTTCTGATGTTACTATGTGCTTTAGTCAACTTGAAATAGCAAATATCATAAATGTATCTATAATATGTACGTTTACCTAAACTATAGATCATTCAGATTTGTAAATTATTAGACATTCATTGTACACCTGCCTCTTTATGAGCAATTTCTGTAAATTTGTCATTATCTACATTTAATTTTACACACAGAGAATGTTAACTTGCTTTTAATATATGACCTTTGATATTACACACAGAGAACATTAACTTGCTTTTAATATAAGTCCTTTAATTTTACAGGCTTGCTGTTCTTCACGTTTCTGTTTTATACCCTGGCTATTGTGGCAGTTGTCCTGTTTTATGTTTACTATGGCAGTGTAAGTTTATAGATTTAGTCTGTGTATATTTATGCTTTATCATACAGGGCTCGAAATAATTAATTTTTTTTACTGGTCGCTCAGGCTATCAACTTAAAATTTTACTGGTCAATCGATAACATTGTCCCACTGGGCTAGTAGGTATGGAAAAAGACTGGCCCAAAAGCAGTGCTTAAACAAGGGCATGCAAGGTGGAGCAAAAGAGCATATCAATCCTAATATAAATTATTGCTTGCGTAACTTCCGTTACGTATGCACTCACCCACTCAAGCACACAGGCACGTTACTTTGTCCACTCCAACTCTTGTGAGGGGATAAAAATTAGACTATATTAACCGTAACCGTGAGTTTATTTTCCAATTTTAATAACCAACAGTTTAAAAAAGTCATTTTTCTTCACTGTTAAATCTTGACTCTTAAATCAACTCTAGTAGTGCCACTTTCAGATTCTGCATAGCCCTTGTTTACTGCACATATTTCATGTTTTTATAATACATTGTTAACTTGTTCCACCAAGGTGAAACAGCATTTAGAAAAAAAATTACAATGTTTAAGAATATAATCCTCAAGAAAATTTGTTTTTAGAAATATGTGTGATATTGAATTTACATTGCGTTATTTGATAGTACAACCTAACAAAAGAAGGAATTGTTCGCATCCAAATAGAACCTGGATGCACTAACCTTTCTAGTTAACTAGCCCGACTGTGAATTGATTTTGATATGCATAAAATAATCACTAGCCCCAAGGACATGTGCTTTCTACAAAGCACTAGCCCAAATCCAAAATTTACTGGCCCCAGACCAGCGGGCCATCAATTATTTCGAGCCCTGTCATATATAGGATGAAGTTTTAATTAGTGTCTTTCCTATGAAGTTTCCTATTACATGTACTTCATTTTGCTAATTTTTGTATACTGGAAATACAGGTGACTCTTGATGGCCTGAACTTTGCTTTCTTGAAGTTCTTTATCTCTGGAAATAAGACTCAAGTTCCAAAATTTAGTATATTAGTTGAATAGGCAGTAAGATTTATTATGAAACTTAGTTTAATTTTCTTTGTCATCTGGCTTGGTGCTGGAGTGGTAGGTAGATTCCCCAACTTCATGTAAGAATGAATGGACAAAGAGAGATAACTTCTGAAAATGTTCCTTTTGTAAACTATGGAGGCTGCAATGTTTTTAAATTTCTCTTCATAATGTTTTCTTTATCAAGTCAAATTCTCATTCTTTAAGCTGCACCCTAGGATTTCTTTCTGTGGGATTCTTGCTGACTGGTCAGTTTTCTAGTTTACTCTTAATACCCTCGATGTGGAAATGAGAATCCAAACTTTCTCATTCAATCAAATGATTGATTAAGCAATTAAAATTTATCCAAATTGGAAATTTGAATAAGAATGGAAAGAATGTCATTGTTTAAGTATACATCTTAGATTGTAACACTGTTGTGAATGAGAATCAGTTACATTTGATTATACTACTGTATACAGAGAAATATTCGCTTCCGTTTTATTTTCCCCCCTTTCACCCTACACATAGGTGGGCAAATTTTAAAAAAATATGAATTCAAATAATCCAGTATAATTTTTTAAACATATCTGTGACTGGACTAATTGTAAACGGGGCAAAATTGTTTGCAGGAGTGAAAGGGCGATAATAATATGGGGTGAAAATAACCCTGTATACAGTAATTTTAAAACCGTTCAGGTAACCCTGGATTTTCTATCCTAAAATCTTCAAATGAAGAACTCTATCACTCGAAGTTTTTCTGTGGTCCTGTGGACTTTTGTATGGAGAGCCACCTGGTTTTAAATTCACAGGCCTTTCAACGTTCTTGCTACTTTTTTTTGAAAATGTGCAGTCATTGCAAATTTTACAGAGAAACAAGTATATTTTATTTCTAAAAAGATTAATATTTACAAATACAGTTATGTGATGCACTGAAATAGAGTTATTTTTCTCTTTATAATTTTGGCAACAAGGAGAAAAATTAGTCTATTGGTACAATATCCTTACACAAAGAAAAACTCAAAAGAAACAGACAGTAAAATTTTTGATTGATTTCTCACATTTTCAAAGAAAATCTCTCAAACATGAAGTTCTCTTTTTTACCATGTCTGTAAAATACATTTCAGTGTACAATAGCTCTAAACTTTGTCGTAACAAAAGTCAAGTCATTCAATTATGATTCCTCTGTGCAAGAGAGTTGTTTTGAGCATAGAGAAACTATTTTCCCTGTGCATCAAACAATACAAAGCACACTGTATGCTAGTGAGCAACTTTAAATACAACATCTATAAAATTATTGACATTTCAGTGTACACAGTAACTAAGCTTGTTATTTTTGTCTTTACAGGCTGAGAGCTGTGGGTTACATAAGTTCTTCATCAGTTTTAATCTGATCCTGGCTGTAGCCATTTCTGTCATAGCCATTTTACCCAAAATCCAGGATGGTAAGAAAACCTAATCTTGTGAAATGACTTTTCAAAAAGTTCAGCAACTAAAAAGAATTTTTCTTTCTATTAACTTTTGAATATTTCTTTTTCAGTGAACCCTCGTTCTGGCCTGCTGCAGTCCTCCATTATTACTTTGTACATAATGTACCTCACCTGGTCTGCTATGTCCAACAATCCAGGTATAGTGTCCAACACACACACCAAACATGCACACTTGCAGACATAAGGCTATAAAAAAATCTTATGATGGTGTCTAATTATCACAAGATTCATTAGGTCATAAATGTTTTTCTAGCTATACAAATATGTGTATCTGGATATAAGGCTGAATACATCTTGTAATGTCTGCCACTGTATTTTCATGACAATGTAAACTAAGATTCGGGGGCATGTCATCGTCGCAAGCCACGGGTTTTGTGTCCATTCTATTTCCACAAACCCCTGGCTGCCTCCTACAAATTTCTCTCGTTCTCATGAATATTAATAACATACATTCAACCAATGGAATAACATCTGACGCTTCAAGTCAGAACCAATGAAAATGATCAGTCTATCCTGTATTTGGATGTAACCATAACCATGAGCTGTACATCAACTTCAGTTCGAATTTCCTTTCTTAACGAGTAACGCTATTCAGCGTTCTCACACAACGTCTACATTCGAAATCCTGTATTTTAATGTAAATCTGGCGTCACTTAATAAATATTCAATGATTCAGTCGCGAGAACGAGAGAATTTGGTAGGAGGCAGCCACGGGTTTGTGGAAATAGAATGGACACAAAACCAGTGGCTTGTGACGATGGGGGCATGTAGGTTTAGGTCTGTCTGTCTTTTTGTCTGCAAACCTTAACCATGCCCATAACTTCTGAATGATTGATGCTAGTGCTTTTATATTTCACATGTATTCCTTGTGACAAGACCTTTCTCGGAGTACCAACATTTTTGACCTTGGAATTTTCTCCAACTTTTGTAAAACTTTTAGCAAACCTCAACCTTAGCCATAAATATTGAACGGTTAGTGCTAGGGCCCTCATGTTTCAAATGTGCATTCCTTGTGACAAGACCTTTATTTGGTACTTATCAACATTTTTTACCTCATGAACCATGAACTCATGACCTTGACCTTAGAGTTTTACCTACTTTTAATAAACTTAACCTTGGCCATTATTTTTGAATGGTTTGAGCTAGGGTTTTCACATTTCACATGGTTATATCCCCACTTGAATAGCAAGGGGTGGTGGATGGGTTAAATAGTGATTAGAGTGTCTATTCGTAAGTCCTTTCCTCTGTATGTCCTTATCACTTGGAGGTAGCCATCCCTTATCCGCAACTCCACTGAATGCAGTTTAATGAAACTTTAAAAATAATTTTTATTACAGAGTGGTATTGTGCACCCCCCCTTTTTTTTTTTACATTTTCAAAAGATTTGACACATATTGCAGGTTTCCCATAGCAAAACATGGACACTGCCATTCTTTCAATAATATTGGGGGTACCCATCTCTTATCTGCAATTCCTATACCATTTGACTTCTATACCACTGAATAGAATTTGATGAAACTTTCACAGAATCTTAATTACGTAGTGCTATTGTATATCTCCTATTTTATATTTCCATCAGACAGATTTTTGGGGTTTCCCATAGCAAAACATGGACACTGCCATTCTTTCTATAATATTGGGGGTACACATCTCTTATATGTAAATCCTCCTATTCTACTAAATGAAATCTGATGAGACTTTCAGAGAATCTTAATTACTTAGTGCCATTGTGCACTATTTTATGTTCTGCTTGGACAGATATTTTGGGTTTCCCATAGCAAAAAATGGACTTTTCCCTTATGTTCATATGGGGGTATTATTTTATGATCTTAATGCTCACAGCACCTCTAGTTATTCCTTGTGACAAAGCCTTTCTTAGGGTTTCAACATTTTTGACCTCATGTCCATGACCTTGGAGTTTGATATACTATGAAAATTTTTTACCTTGGCCATAACCTTTGAATGTTTTGTGCTAGTGTTTTCATATGTGTTTCACAAAAACACATTTTTATGCCCCAGTAATTGAACATTTGGGGATACATAGTTTTTGGTCTGTCTGTCCATGTGTCTGTTAAGGACCCTCTATACACTGATGAAAAATGTTTTTTGAACTTTGCAAAATTTATATAGTGTAAAGGAGGATATTTTGAAATTAACTAATTCATTTTTAATATAGGGAGCCTGCCTTTTTTATCCAGGAAAAATCTTCAAAGACAGTGAAGTAATAATCACAAAACATCACTTTTGCTTGTTAAAATGGAGAAAATACAAGCAAATAAAGTTTTCAACTACTTTATCTTGGTCTAATATAATGTGTAGAATACTTGGATTTATTTTAAATTATATCATAGAATGCTAATTATAATTTATTCTCTTTTGTGTCAAATTATGGGTAAGTCTAATTACACAAAAGTACCCTAAAATTAGGGTGCAGTGTAGAGAGGGTCCTTAATCTGTTTGTTCACTAAAACTTTAACCTTGTCCAAAACTTTTGAAAAATTCATGGTGGTAGGTCTTTGATATTTCACAAGTGTATTCCTTACGACAAGACCTTTCTGTGGGTACTAATATTTTTAAAATCTTGACTTTGGAGTTTGACCTTCATTTGGAAAACCTTGAGCTGCCATACAGAGGCATCAGTGTTTCACAAACACATCTTCTTTTACTATTTAGTTTTCATTTTCATTTATTTAGACACAACTTGCAACCCCAACCTGAGTTTTACAAATGGCACTCTCACAGCTTCTGACAGTGGGGACTATGTAAAGAATAGCTTTGACTACCAGAGTCTTCTTGGTCTATTGATGTGGATTCTGGCTGTACTTTACTCGAGGTCAGTTAAGAGTACCGGTACTCTCCCTTGGAATATCACGCTCTGATAATGTTAGGGATTCGTTTTTTACGTTGATAATTACCTTTTTCAGCATCCGCACCTCCAGCAACAGTCAAGTCGGAAAGTTAACGATGTCGGAAAGAACCGTTCTTCAGGCTGATTCAGGTAAGAGGAAAATGCAATTTCATTTAAATTAAACATAAAATCCCTAATCTGTTGTTAGGAGACTCTAAATCCAGTGTTTGAGGTAGAAGTGATAACATTCCTCCTAAGTTCTTGTTTTGGTTACAAGAACAAGTGTTAAATATCTTGAATGATATTTTATCTAAATTTTAGGTGATGCTCAACTTATTGATGGTATGAATGTACAATGTAATATTAAAAGAACAATGTTCATGACTCAATTATCATTTTTGATTATTCTAAACTAGACCTGTATCAAAATTATTACCGGTATTTGACTAACTTTTTGGTTCACAGATTGCAAACATTGCATGTTTTTTTTTTTTTAATTTAAAGTCTTAGAGATGAGATACTTGTCTTATGGATGTTGTAATTGTCCCCCTGTGGCTCACTGTTACATTAAATTTTGGCAATGCATTTTTTAATTTTACACTTTAATCAAAATATGTTTTCCAGTTGCAAAGCATCGCTTGCTTTTAACCCTTTTTCCTGTTTTAAAGAATGCTATAATATGTATCCTATGTATGCATTTACATGTACTTACAAGAATGATGATACACTGTATATAGAATTATGAGGATGTATTGTCTCCTGTGCAAACACAGAGTTAGAATTGTAATGGAGTGGTATAGAAATCAAATAGGTATTGGAAGGTTAAGTTTGGTTTTTATTTAGCATGAAGCTTTTCCCATAAAGACCTGTCATAAATTGTTATGACAGTTATACAGTTGACAAGTTTATTAATGAACAAACATATAGAAGCACGCACAGTACATGAATGCAATAAATGATACAATTCTGTTATTAATAAGTTGTTACAAGATAATTTTGAAGAAGTTAGGAAATACATGTTATAATTGTTTGCGTTGATATTTGGAATTGACAGGCGACAGTTACAAAGGTAAGTAGAAGAGTTTGGTCAGTGTTGAGAACAAAATATCCTTACTATACATAAATATACTTACTCTTGAAACATTCAAATGTTTATTTCCTATACTTATTTTAATCTATTTGAAAATAAAAAACCAAAGCAGGCAGCTTTTGATTGTTACAGAAAGATCTGATTTCAATTTATTGTAGTATGTATATGTCTTGTACACATTTTAGGGGTATACTCACTATACTGTATATAAAATGCTACATTATACCTTTTAAGTGATGGAAATGCTTCCTCTTCATAAATCCTAGAGTAAAAATTTGGCAAAATTTGTGCTTATTTGCCTTTTATTTTAGAAATTTTGAGAAGTCTTCCTCTTTTGCAGACAGCATGGAAGATGTTGATATATGTTTCTCATTTAAACACTGTAAAATGGACCTAATACCTTGAATATCTTACAGAAACATAAAATGTAAAACTACAACAGCTGCCTGTTTATAAACAGCATTTTAAACTTCTATAAATTCCTATCAGAAATGATGAGATCACATACTGTAGTTGTAAGGATAAAGTTACAAAGCATTATATAAATAAGCATATTTCATTAAATTAGTAAATTATAGTACACATGTAATGTCATGAAATATGCTCATTTTATAAGTCATATAAAGTTATTTTCATTGATGAGAAAATCCAGTCAGCTCTCAGAATGTTTATTTACTACATACAGTTTATTAAAAAAATATTCATAGACCTGTATTTTCACTTAATACCTATATGTAGTGTTGAAGTTTATGTTAATTAAGCAGTGTATGCTTATTGACATTTAATATTTTAACCAGAAAGTTACTGTACTAACACACCTTCTTTTCAGATTTTGAATACTGTAAATGAGTTGCAATTTCTTTTCATATTATTGTAAATTACAGTGCATGGAATAATTATCAAAGTCTGATTAGAGGGTGTGTGTAATTTTTAGAGATACATGTGCTTTCTTTGTGTAATTTCTTCTTAATTTTTGTGAATTTCTGTCTGCACTTATGGTTGGATATCTCTTTGAACTAGTTTCTCATGTAGTGTGTGTTTTTTTTTTTTTAGTGATAGCTAGTAAACAAAAAGACAATATTGGTGTGATAATGATGGAACTACCACATAGGAAAAAAATGCAAAAGAGCTTAATATAATAGCTAAACTTTTATTCCTTAATAAGGCTTATATCTGCACTTTTCTGAGATTTTTTATTTCAGTTAGCTGCTTTGCTGTAGAAAAAATAGACCAAAAATGCTGAAGACTGTTTACATGTGTTCTTGTTAACAGGTGCATCTGACTCTGGGGACGAGGAGAAGGGGAAACAACATGTGTGGGACAATGAAGAAGACGGTGTGGCTTATAGCTACTCTTTCTTCCACTTCATGCTGGCTCTGGCTTCCCTCTATGTGATGATGACCCTTACCAACTGGTACAGGTAAGGCCAAGTTTATATCTCAATCTGGACTGACCAACTGGTACAGGTAAGGCCAAGTTTATATCTCAATCTGGACTGACCAACTGGTACATGGGAAGGCCAAGTTTATGTCTCAGTCTGGACTGAACAACTGGTACAGGCAAGGTCAAATTTTTGTGTCAATCTGGACTTGCTCACAAGCATTGGTGATGCTAACTTTATGTCTGTTTGGGACTCACCCACAGGTACAGGTAAGACCTTTATATATCAGTCTAGACTCACCCACAGGTACAGGTAAGGCCTTTTATATATCAGTCTGAACTCGCTCTGAAAAGCTGGTTATTGTCTTGCCTACGGGTACAGGCAAGGCCAAAAATATGTGTTGACTTTGTTTTTTTGTTTTTGTCTGTATGAAATAGACAGGCAGAAATTATTTAACTGGAGTTGTTGCCATTAAAATCTTGATTTACATGTAAATAGATATTACATATTCATGGACAGACTGTATTTCCATATATGTTCTTTTTCAGCCCAAGTTCAGACTTCAAGACACTGAATGCCAACATGCCATCAGTGTGGGTGAAGATTGTGTCGTCCTGGGTGTGTGTGGTCCTGTATCTCTGGACCCTGATTGCTCCAATGGTATTGAGGAACAGAGAATTCAGTTAAATTGACATCAGAATCTTCTGAGAACAAATGGTCTTCACCATTCTATAAATATAAATGGACACTTGTTTTCATTTTGTTGTGTGTCAGCACATATTTTTTTCTTGTTTAAAGATTAACTTGAAGAAACTTATCTTCATATTATAAGAACAATATAAATGATAAGATTTTCATGTGTTATAATTTATCTTGTCTACATGAGTAGAGTTTAGCATAACTCGAGAACTTATGATAAGGAGTTATGCTGTGAAATGTGAATGATTCATTGTAAAAATCCTCATGTGACTCGTTACTCACTTAGCAAAGATTATCTTTGTTTTATTTTCCGATTAATGACTGCACGATTTATCATCTGTAGTATTAGATCACAAATATCCCATCTTTACAGTTCTTATATTTAAATCTCTATTTTCTTAAAGCAGTTTCTGATGTTCAATTATTCTTTTAACCCTGAGGTTTTATTCAAATAATTACTTGGTCTTATTTACATTGGAATTTTTCATTATGATGCGTTATTTTGTTCAAAGGCCTAAGAACACTATATGTCATTAAATGTTGTAATTGCTTCTGTTTAATAAATCTGTGATACTTTATCTTCATTAAATTCAGCTACATTTTTCTATTTGTTTTGCATTCTTGCTTTAACCTGTTTATAAAGTAAATTAATCTGTATAAAATAAGTCCCTTTTAAAAAAAATTAAAAAAAAAAATAACTTGGTACACATGTGTATTTGCAAATTTTGGTCACATCGTGCCATTTGAGCAAAAACATGAAGGATGTTTAATTAAAAGAAGACTAGCTATGATTCAGGTCAGTTTATTATTACCTTGTCCAAGTCGAAATCAAATGCTCAAGGAGATTTTCTTATTGAACTGTGTCTGTCTGTTGTGTAATAGATCCTTAATAAGAAGGGGCTATATAGAGATCTGTATTGTTTAACCAGCAGGATTCAGATCAGGCCCCAGAATCATGAAACAGATTCAAGTCAAATTTTCAATGGCCTGTAAATTTTTTATTAATTGTTTAATTAATCTCTAATTTTTTTTTAATTGTTTAATTAATCTCTGAAAATACCTTTATGATGCATTATTAAAAAAAATTAATTTTGCATTGCTTGAACTACATTTTTGTACAACTTAAAAGATTTTGACTTCAGATGTTTCATGATTCTGGAGACAGTTTTATTAGCTCATATGGAGTGAAGAGTGTCCAGTGTATCTCATGTATTGTTTGATAATGTTCATCTCCAGAACCATTAGACCTGTAAAGAAAAATTTCCAGAAAGCTTCCATAGGTGATGGGTTCACAGAGTTATTGCAATGAAAAAAAAAATGCCCTCTCTCAAGGGGAAATAATTAAGAAAAAATTAGCAATTTGGTGGTAACATTTTAAAATCTTATGACTTTCTTCATTTCAACAAATCTGAATCCCTTTCACCCAAGGATGCTTTGATTAAAATTTGCCCAGTGGTTCTGGAACATTTCTTGGTCAGTAAAGCTCACTTGAGCCTAAAAATCTCGAGGCCAAATTAGTTATATTTTTAATGTATCTTTTTGTAATGTACTTACATTGAAGCTTTCTCAAATCATGCCCCTTGGGTTAGCCTGGGGCCAGAATAGGGGTCAACAATATTAAAAGTAGACAAGTGTACATTCATGTAGTGTACATTCAAATGGAAGCAAATCATGACCCAAAGGGCTAAAGTAGCCCCCAATTGACAGTCAAATTTTTATTTAGTAATGCATAACTAGAGGCCCATGGGCCACAAGGCTCACCTGAGTCACTATGGCCCTGCTGTTGTTCCTCAGCAGATTTTTTTCCATTATATATTCCAATGTAAAACTTTGATTCTCTGTTGTGACCCTACCCTATCCCCCAGTTGTCATATTTTGAACAAACTTGAATTGTCAATTTCTGAGGATGCTTCCATATTAATATGACAAATCATGGCTTTGTTGTTCTTGAGAGGATTTTTAAAGATGTGGCCTCACCCTATCCCTGGGATTCATGATTTGAACAAGCTTGAATGTACACTACCTGAATATACTTCCATATCAATATGACTTATCATGGCTATGCTTTTCTTGAGAATACTTTTAAATTTTTTTTTTTCCTATATATCCCTATGTATAAATCTTAAAGCCCCACCCTACCCCCAGGGGTCATGATTTGAACAAATTTGAATCTACACTACCTGAGGATGTTTCCATATCAATATAACTAATTATGGGTTTGCTGTTCTTGAGAAGATTTTTTCCAATATATTGCTATGTAAAACTTTGATTGTCCTTTGCAGCCCCGTCCCTCTCAAGTCATGATTTGAACAAGCTTGAATCTACACTACTTGAGAATGCTTCCAATTCAATATGACTAATCATGGCTTTGTTGTTATTGAAAAGATTTTTAAAGACTTTTTACTACTTAAAACTCTGACTCTCATTTGTGGCACCAGGGGTCAAGATTTGAGCAAACTTGAATCTACACTTTGTAATGAAGGTTTTACAGAAGTTTCCAATTTTTTGTCCCAGTGGTTATTTTTGAAAGATGCCTTTCAATGTTTACCTATTCTTAATTATCTCCCCTTGAAAGAGAATTTGGCCCTTTAAACTTCAATCTCCTTTACCCAGTGATGCTTTGTGGCAACTTTGGTAGGAATTGGCCCAGTGGTTCTGGAGAAGAAGTAGAAAATGTGAAAAGTTGACAGACCGGGCTAAATATAATCAGAAAAGCTCACTTGAGCTTTCAGCTCAGGTGAGCTAAACAATCTTGGCAAGAGAAGTTCCACCATAAGTTTATTACTCTTCAAGCATCTTCATGTAGTGTAAAATGAGGTTTGAACAAATCATGACCCATGGGGTTGAGTAAGGGCTGAAATAGCGGGATCAACTTTGACATGGTGAAATATTTTCTAAATCCATGTACATAAATCTTAAAAAGAGCAGGGCAACAATTTGTCAAATTGATATGCAAGCATCTTAATGTAAATGTAAAGATAAATTTTTCCAATAGAATTACAGTATTTATTTACCAAAACAGAATGTTAAATTGTCAGGGCAATTTGCATAATTTTCATTACGTAGAAAATATATTTTCTCTTTTTCCCCATCAAATCATGGGGTAGTTAATTTGCATGTAATCATTTATGACTCCTTTTTGAATTTCATCGTGAGAAGGGGTATAGGCTATTTGTTTTTAATAAAATTCCTCAAGTCAAAATACTTATTCAACTGGATTACTTGGACATGGAAAATGAAACTCAGATTTTGGTTGGATTCTTGGCCATTTTTCTGTTCTGTACTAGAAAATTGGGTGTATATGGGTTAGGAATGTTGAACAGCTGCTTTAAAATTTTAATGCTACCAATTAAGAGATCCTTCAAATTTAATAGGCTTGACAACAAGAACTTCTGCTGTGTTGCATTGCTAAACAAAGTGGTTATATCTACATGTAAACTCTGGTTACTTACATGTACACCCACATCCATCCTAGGTGATGTACTGCGATATCACAACTTGGGTGATCAAAGAATATTAATGTATTTGCTAGAAGTCGCTTTAAGTTTCTTTTGACTAAGGCAGATGTATTATCTTATATTAATTTATAAAATGTGATTACCAGGCGCGTAGCCAGAATAGAAATGATGTGTACGCAGAGAACGGCACGGGGTTGGGTGGGGGAGGGGGGTCTTCACCCCCCCCCCCCCCCCAGTGTTTAAGACCGCTCTGATCAGACACGTAATATAGCTTTTGCCAGCCAGGAAAAAATTACAACTTTAAAAATTTTGTCAAGCAAGGACGAAAAAGGAAGACTGTCAAAATTCGAAGTCCTATTTCTTGTGTGTGTGTGTTTGTTGAAGGGGGGGGGGGGGTTGTCCATTTTTCACAAACCAAATTTTTATCAATACATTACCAAATTACCATGATTTAACAATGGTGCAACAAACTGTGGGGGTCCACCCTTTCAATGTACATTTTTTCAATAGTAAAAGGTTAGATTTTGGGAATAAATAGTGGGGAGGCTCCCCTGATACTACGTGCTTGCTGGTGAGGGCCCAGAAGCTCCGGAGTTTTACCAAATATTTCATTCATTTTCTTGAAATATAAAAATTATGCCATTTAGTTTTTGTTTAGGAAATAAAAGACATAGTAATATTTATTGTTTTAACGAAAATTAATATTTCATGGAAACTTATTGTACATATAATTGAGGCTAAAATTTAACCGATATATTAATTGGTATCATATAATCATTCTTAACGTTTAAAAACACGTATACAAATTTTTAATTATGAACAAGAAATATCGTATTGTAAATCATACTAGTAGATCATAGCATTCAACGATGTGGCTAAAATTTATTTTTTCAAAGATCTTTTAAAAAAATATATCAATGTATGATAGAACAATGACAAAATAATGAATGATTTATTTGGATTTGTCAGTTATTAAATAAAAGATTTCAAATTTTATCATACAGCCATGATAATTTAAAATTTAAATGAACACAGTATGACACAGAATAATTTGAAACACAAATATTTGTTGGATGGTACTGAGATTTTTTTCTCCGAATAATTCTCTCTTTTTTCTTATCCTTTTTCTTTTTTTCTGAAAGTGATGTGTACGCACTTGCGTATAGGCAGCTATTACTGATTACTGAATATGCAAGATTATACCTTTAATTTATTGCACTTGTAAAATTTACAACAATTAAATAAAACACCGACAATAAAAAAATAAAATATCCAGAAGTCAACCAGAATCTTTACTAACATCAAAAACACAAAAGGAATGTTACGGGGTAGAATTGTTCATAGCTACTAGATTTTTCTCAAGCTCTTCATAATGTTTTGCTACGATATCTGCTTGTTCAGAAAATTCTGCATCCACCTGGTCACACGTTTCATACTGACGAGCCAAGAATTCTGTCCAATCACTTTTTCGTCGTTCACGTTCTTTTTCTAAAAGATCTGTCTGCAGAAGAAAGAGAGGAGGCATTATGTTCACCATGCATAAATTTGAAATAGGAGGCAAATTAATTAAACTATTTAGGATAAATGACAAATTTTGTACAGTCCCTGAAACGTTCTATTTTCCCATTTTTCCGTTCGCTCACCGATCATTCAGCGTGCGTTCACCGTTCATTCACCATGCGTTGAGCGTTCGCTCTCCGTTCACAGTTTTGCGTTCAGCGTTCACAAAGCGTTCAGCGTTCGCTCTACGTTCGTTAATCTTGCGTTCAGCGTTCACTCATCGTTCAGTCTTCACAGTCATTCGGAACTCCGAAGTGAAAGGACTTATCTTTTTGTAAGTAAGGATTTACAGGTTTTGAAAATTAATAGCGAGCGCAGCGAGCGGCGCCAAGCGCCGCTCGTCACTGCGAGCTCTAACGACAACGCCTGGGCGAAGAGAAAATTCGGACTACTGCACATTCATTCAATAGAATTTTTTTCCGCAGTAATTCTGACCCACAATGCATCGCTTCTTGTTCTCCCTGCTAACTTCGTTCACGCGGTGACAACAACTAAAATTTCACAAAAAATAAACTCACCTTAATTTAATGGCTATTGCATGCAGATAGTAGATTAAACGTTCTTTGTTAAAATATTTGCACTTTTTAAACTTTGTTTATGGAAATGCAGCTAACATACGACGTCATGTGACGTCACAGTTTAGACGTTCCAAATGTCTCGTGCGGTTTGAAGAGGCGGATCTTAAAATGAAGTGAACAATGCGCTCGCCCCAACGGTCGCACCGTCAACATATTAGCGAGCGCAGCGAGCAAAGCGAGCTCTAACGACAACGCCTGGGCGAAGAGAAAATTCGGACTTACACATTGATCCAAACGAATTTTTTTCCGCAGTAACTTTTGGACCAACAATGCATCGCTTGTTTAAGCTACGTTCTCGCGAGAATTACAACAAAAGTTTAACAAAAATATAAACTCGTCTTGATTTAATGGATGTATTGCAGATAAATAGTAAACAAAACGTTCTTCATTAAAGTCAACAATGTTCAGGCTTCGGTTTGGTAATCTTAAATACGACGTCATGTGACGTCAGAGTCTAGACGCATTCGGCAAACCTCGGCTGATTCCGGTACGAATCGGCCGAGGTGTGCCGAGTGAGTCTAGACGTTGCAGTTTGACGATCGAGCCCGATCTAAATTAATCCTGAATAAATATCTGCGCTCGCCCTAACGGTTGTACCGTCAACATATTAATTAACATATCGTGTTTAAAGAATCATTATTTCATGTGGAAAAAATTATCAACAATATATGTTTTTTTTTATTATTCTAATTAGCTTTTAGGTTATTTATTAAATTACCCTGGAAAATAAATGTTGTTATAAGTATGTAAATACGGGCAATATACAGATACTTCAAGCACTGCAACATTTTGTTGTTATCTTAAAGACGACAAATCGCTAATGGAGAGATGATAATCCAAGTAAATTAATTTACCAACTGCAGCAAAATTACGAAAATATTTATTTCTAACACTTTTTTTTCAATTACTGTAGAAAGAAATATTAGAACAAGTTCTGAGAATTATAAATAGTACTGCGGATATCCGGTTAATCAAATATCTATGGAGCGAATAAAATTGATAACGTAGTTTAAAAATATTTATTTAAAAATTTAATCTATAACAAATAATATGAATGCCTCTTTGTATCATCTTGTCCGAGTATAATCACGGGGAAACGTCCACAGATACATGTAGAAGTGCTGCTCAATAAAAAGAAATGACAAATATATTATTGCAATAAAATTTTAAAATACGAGTGTATTTATGCAATACGTCCACAGACCTTTGTAAAATATTTTTTTTTCTCATTATTTTACACGGAATCGCCTTGGCACGGAAATATGTATGGTTGGTACAACCGTTGTAATTCATTCTATAAGTCATTAGTTTTCTCTTCTAAAATCCACATTATCTGTAATGGTTTTATATATAAAATAAGAATAAACATATTTATTTTACAACTAGAATAATTTTATCTTTTATACTACAGCGTTCGGTAACAATTTATACAATGTTTTACAGCGATTCGTGTGATTAAAAGGTTGAATTTAAACATCACACATATGCGCAAAAATTGCAGGAAACTTTAATTAATAGCGAGCGCAGCGAAGCGCCGCTCGTCACTGCGAGCTCTTAAAGCAACGCCTGGGGCGAAGAGAAAATTCGGACTGTGCACAATGATTTTTCCGCAGTAATCTGTAGTCCCATAATGCTTTGCGAATTGCACTGATCTCGCCTTAAACAACGTTCTCGCGTTAACAAGAAGTTCCAAGAAAAAAAAAATAAATTCAACTTGATTTGATGGATACATAGCAGATAAATAGTAGATTAAACCTTCTTTATTAAAATAAGCACTGTTCAGACTTCATTTTGGTAATGCAACTTACAAGCGACGTCATGATACGTCAGAGTCTAGACCAATCTCTACCCAGAGTTATCGTTCTCACTACGCTCCACTTATACCATGTTGTAGCGAAGCGTAATACGCCCTCTGGTGAGAGATTGAGTCTAGACGTACGAAATGTCACGTGCGGTTTGAAGAGCCTGATCTAAATAAAACTGAATATAGGTATCTGCGCTCGTCCTAACGGTCGCACCGTCATCATATTAGTTTTACTTAATGTGCATGTATCATCTTTCTTAGGACAATTTTGAAACATTTATTTAATTTATTTATTTATTCACTGATTTGTTTATTTATTTATTTATTTTTGGCACCTGACAGTAGAATACAATAGAATAGTTACAAGCTTATCTTTTAAAAAGATTAGTGAGTTAGCGCTGTAGCATAATAAAATACAGAAGAAGATATCTGAACCATTTGTTAAATTTGCTGAATCGATAAATTATATAGGAAGGCAGATTGGTGCACTGGGGGTTGAATTTTTTTTTGGGGGGTTGTTGTTGTTGTTGTTGTTGTCATAATTCAGAATGTTGAATCTAAGAGTGTGCTTCACGTCGGCAATGGCATAACTCCCAACTGTGCTTTAAGCATTCTGTATTTTACTGTAATTTCAATTTCGAGGTGAAAAATAAAAGGTCAGTAGAACCAATGAGCACCTTCGGTCCTTTCCGGCAAGCTCGGAAAACATATCCGAGCTTGCCAGAAAGATCCATGAAGGTAGATTAGAAAAGCTATGTATTCATTACAACTTTAGAAATAACAGTCTTGGTTTTATAAGACCCGAGTTACTGTTACTTTTTGTTCATTTACGTGCAGGTTAGACAACAAAACACGAAACACTAAATTGGCATGTCTTTCCGACATAATCTGAAAAAGATCTTTGTTGTTGTTGTTGTTGTTTTTTCCGAGCTTGCCGGAATTATCCACTAAGGTGGTAAAACTGTAAGGAAAGCTAAATGTCTAGACTCTTGGCATTTTTCTTGTACTTTTATGTGTAGGTTAGACAATAAAGGAGATGGGTGAACATGACGAGCGATAAGCCTATAGTGTGACAAACATGAAGATGAAAAATTAAATTTCAATTTTATCAAAATTTTCCTTGATATTTCGTCTAACATTAAAATATACTTTATGTAAAATCTCTAATTTGCAAAAATCCCTCAAAGATTGAAATTATTCGCCTGTGAAATATTAGACACACACAAAAGCAGGCAAAAAGAGTCATTTTCTCATACTATAATACTATTTTTCGATATGAGTGGGTCTTTCTCCACCTTTTTGAAAGTTAATCCTCAAAGTTTGCATAAAAATATACATTTTTTGGTTACCAAAAATATGGAGCAATGACCCACTATACCTTAAAAATATACTTTTATGACATAATATTCGCATCTTTTCGAGAAATAAGTTCATTAAGTCAAGGGTCACATCACAAACGTGATTTAAAGCCATTATTCATCAGGACTTGTGTAGTCTAGTGGTTAGCGTGCTAGTCTCGAAAGAAAATAATACTCAGGATTTTTATTGCTAGGGTTCGAACCCCACGAATACCACATTAATTTTTTTTTAATAAAAGAATAAATTTTGCCGAGAAAATTTTCCTCAGAAAAGTTTTGTTTATCATAATTTCATAAATTTCAATAATGAGAACTTTACTCTAAATACTAAATTCACAAAATGAACATGATTTTTATATATCTGAAGCTATAGGTTTTCTGCACGCTATGTTCGCCCATCTCCTTCAAAAAAATTCAGAATCCGGATCTACATGTAGACTGGTATTGACTGTCTCTAACCTACGAAATGTATATCGCGCATATCAGACAGGAAAGGCCTGAAATTCGGATCATTTCTATTTTTGTATGACAAAACGAAATTTTTATCGTACAGTCTATCTAAAGGAGTTTCCCCAGAATCCCCGACCGTGAAGTCGAGCATGCGTATTTCAGAAATATAGACTAACGTAGTTGCTAGCGCTCGAGAGCGCTAGCAATAATGCAAGGAAAAGATCCGAAACATTCCGAATACATGTAAATCGTTCACCTTTCGTTCACCGTTCACTTTGGGCTCCGTTCGCGTTCGCTCACGGTTCACCAACCGTTCACCAAGTTGCGTTCAGCGTTCACACATCGTTCACTCACCGTTCGCTCTGCATTCGTTCAGCGTTCGTTCGCCGTTCAAGTGGGAAAGTAGAACGTTTCAGGGACTGTACATGACCTACCATATGCACAGCACAACAAACTTAAAAGTTTTAATCTATTCTACACATGCAAATTTTACATGGTACAAAAAAAAAAAATAACACTACTGTCAGATGAACCAACCTTCAAATATTTTCTCTTGATGGGGATTTAGCCCCCCCCCCCCCCCCCCAGCCTCATTTATATAAGGTACATATTTATATACTTATACTTATTCACTTACATCTATGTTGTTTTCTTTTTCCTCAACTCTTTTACAAACCTCTGTTGCAACTTTTACTGCAAAATAAATTTATATGAATCATGGTTACCATGGTTACTGATAAACACTTTAAAGACTTCAAAATAAATAAATCACTTGATTACATTTGGCTGTGATATTTGCCAGAAATTGGTCCATTCCTTCCTTTGCCTCTGGTATTAGGCCATCTTTCATTTCCTTTATTTCTTCATCCAATTTCTTTAGTCTTTCTTGTTCATGGTTGCCTCTTTTTTCCTTTGTAAAATAAAATATTTCATTTATGTACAAAAAAAGTCTGTGGGACACAACATTCAAATTTGTTTTTTCTGATGGAGTCATTTATAACACAAATGAACTCATTTCATTGTTGCTATTTCTTAATTTATTTGGCAATGATTAGACCTTTTTACCAAAAATACCTGGTAAATATTTCAGATTAAAAAAAATCGTTAAAAGATGAAACATAAAGTTTGATCAGGAAAACTCAAAATCTTTTTGACCTTATATCCCATAACATTAAAACTTTTTGTTTTTAAACCCCCACCCCCCACCCCCACCCCCCAATATAAAATGTAACATTGAATAAGGAATTTTTTTTATAAACATGACAAAAAAGTGTGAATATTCAGTTTTTTTCTATAATTTACATTGTGGATATTTGAGGTCTATTGATCAGTGTTTTTCTTTTATTTCAAAGTAAAAGGTTAGAGAAAATTTTAACAGGCTTGGGGTTTAGGTTTATGAACAAAATCTTTGTGGTCCTTACAACTTATTTTTTAAATTTTTGATTTCTAAGTGGCATTTTTATCAATTGAAGTAGTCAACTGGCCGGTAGCCGGTTCTTAGGGAAAACACTGATCGATAATCACGATTGATAACTAACACTCTTGAATTCTTTGTTTAACAACACTTTTATCTAATGCATACTTTATCAACATGTGCATTAAATTAATGATAATTTTCTTAAGATTCTGAAAGCAACTTTTTAACAACCTGAACCATATTTTTGACTTAGATCACTTCATCAACAGAGGCCCATGGGCACCTGAGTATCATGTAACAACTTTCCAACAACTGAAATTGTAGTCCAGTCAATCTAGCTCTAAAACACCCTAACCTTAAACAAACTGCAACAGAAATTGTTCCAGTAGAATTTTCTTTTTTATAATGTGCCTTTTGATACATAAAAACTCTAGAAATATATATTTGTCCAAACATCATTTTTTAGCTCACCTCAACGAAGTTGGGGGAGCTTATGTAATACCCTCGGCGTCCCAGGTTAAGGTTTTTGGAGCAGTTTTCTTTTCAAGTACTTCTATGGCCTATATTAGTCAGAGATGCATGGAGGATGCTTCTAGTGTGTTTTATTGTACCAGTCGTCAAGGTTTCAGATGCTGCAATTTCAGCTAAAGAATGACCAGGTTAATGTTTTTGGAGCAGGTTAAAGTTTTTGGAGTAGGTTAAAGTTTTTGGAGCAGGTCTCATTTCCAAGTAACTATAAGCCCTATATTGACCAAACTTGCATGGATGATACATCTATTCATCTAAGGATTCACACTACTGGACTTGCTTCGGATGCTGGATCTGACCTACAGTTTCCGGATGAGTGACCAGGTTAAAGTTTTTGGAGCAGATGTCATTTCCAAGTATCTATAAACCCTATATTGACCAAACTTGCATGGATGATACATCTAAGGATGTACACTACTGGACTTGCTTCGGATGCTGGATCTGACCTATATTTTCCGGATGAGTGACCAGGTTAAAGTTTTTGGAGCAGATCTCATTTCCAAGTAACTATAAGGCCTATCTGAACCAAACTTGCATGGATGATGCATCAAGGGACAAACAATCTCAAAACTTGCTTCGGATGCTGGATTTGACTTACATTTTCTGGATGAGTGACTAGTTTTAAGTTTTCAGATAAGTCTATTCCCAAGTAACTGCAAGCCCTATCAGACCAAAATTGCATGTTGCATCTAGGGATGCACACTCCTAGATTATTAGTTTAGTGTGGGACTTTGCCTTACTTAAAGACAACATTCGTTGAGGTGAGCTCTGTAATCTCTGATTACCTATGTTTCAGTTTTCAAAAAACCTGATTTTTGTTCAAAATGACCAATAAATCACTGTTTAAAGAGACATTCTATATATACATAAAAATAGTTTTGCCATCTATATGATCTTAAATTTTCTTGACAGATCATGCAGAAATGCGTCTGCAAACTGAAACTAGTGATTATTTCATTAATTGCTATGGATTCCTGTTCTCATGGTAATGGAAATAATTGAAAAATAAAACTATTTCAATTCCTCAGTATGGCTTTGTGCAGGGACAAAGAATATGTAGCCAAGTAGGAATGACAAGTTTTATTAGTTAAGATAATTCAAATAACAAATTATAGGAGACAATTAAGCACACACAAGCAAAAATAAATAAATAAATAAATAACCAAACAAATAAGTAAGAAATAAAAATAAATAAATGAAATTAATTACCTCAAATTTAAAAACCCTTTTTTTGGGGGGAGGGGGGTCTATTTTCATAAGTTACAATGACTTTTAATAAGGGTCCTGGGGAATGGGCTCATGGACATGTCTTTGTTACTTTTACATAAACTCTTTTAACTCCAAAAATCTCAGGGGGAGGGGGTCTTTCTTTATAGCAATGCATGCATAGAGCATTCATCTGAAATTAGTCACACCTATGATTAAGTAACACTTGAATGAAATCTTAAAGGTAAGATTTTTCCCCATTACTTTTATTTGAAAGGTTAAAAAAATAAAAGAAAAATCGTAAAAATCCACTGAAAATGACACGGAATCCTTAAAAAATAATGATAATCTTGAAACTGGAACTGGTAATTCACCTAAATGTCAACCTCAAAGTATTCGAATAGCTACTTGTTTTGTATTCAATATAATGTTCATTGCTATTTTTTAAAAATCTTTTTTAGATTTATTTTATAATGTGTGTGTGTGTGTTGGGGGGGGGGGTATCACATTTAATTTATTAATTAAGCTCTCTGCACATTGAAGTAAAGGTTGTAGGTCTTTCAGATAATACCTCAAAACCAAGGCCCCGTATCACGGTACATGTTGGCGTTGGCATGATAAAGAACCATCACTGCTCAATGACCCTAAACGCTGAGTAAAGGTCTAAATTTGAAGCCCTTCGTCTGTATATGGTGACGTTTCTATATAAGTGAAAAGTTCTTGAACAGGGCATAAACAATCAACCAATTTTTACTAGCGCTGTTTATAGAGCCTGGCTTTATAGAGTCATTCTTATGACAATTAAATTACACATCTGATCATTGATTATCGTGATAAGAATATTATAGTATTTTTTAAAACTTTTCTTATTTATGCAGGTGTATTTGGGATGCTACTTGGAAAATAAGTCAAAAATATTGTGTAGTTTTTGAAAAAAGTAAAATGCACAAATCTATTACATAATAGGATATGTTTAAAAGAAATTACAAAAATCCCATAATGTGGCCTATTTCAAAGATTTCCTATAAAATTAAATCCCTTGTGTGACCCTACTTGAATCCGGGGTTATATTAAGAACAAAGCAGAAGCGAAATGTGAATCGAAGTAACACAACTATAATATTTAAGAAATATGTTTACAAATTACGATAAAATATACTGGCATCATTTTTATACTGAATACACACACACCTACACACACACACACAAATCAAGAATAAGGCCATCTTTAAAAAAAATGTTTGTTCGCCCTCTCCTGATTCAGGGTAGAATTATTGGGTCAGTAGTTAGGCGGGAAAATCTTTTTCCATAAAAATTTCAATATATTTGTTGACGGGATAAAAGGAATAAAAAGAAAAAATATTGTGTCTTGGAATGTAAAAAAAAAAAAGTTTTGAGTTGGACCATTTTTAGTCAGGCGGTCGGAAGAGGTCAACCAAACAATTTTTTTGAAGATGGCCTAATCCTTATTATTTTACTAACAAAGTAGATCTCACTTATATAATGAACATTCTAAAGAAAAAAATCTTTAAACAAGGTCATACAACAAAAGTATTACTTTTAGCTAATAAAATATTTTTATGTTGCAATAATATCACTAACGACTCTCAATAGATTAATACCCCTAATGTTTCCAACATTTTATAAAAGATATGTAAACACTACTTTATATATGTGCAAGAGTTATTATTAATTTGAAGTTTTTTAAATTTTTTGAATTTTTACAGAATTACATAATTAATATATAATTTTTTGTGATTCATAGACCCATATTTTGATAGATAGGTTCCTACATGCTTAAAAGTGATACTGATATTAAAGGATTTCAATAATATATCTTTAAGTTGAGATAAGATTCTCAGATTTTATATATCTTCAGTGCATTGGTGACATTTAAACCTAAGCATGTATACAAAAAGAATTATAAATTTTTTTATGCTTGACTGTTTGAGAAGAAAATTGGTTTGTTAATAGTGGTTAAAATTGTCTCCCTTGGTGGCTATGGTAGCACATTTCTGCAATTATACATATTTTATATGACTAGTAAATAATAATTTCTAAAAAACACATCTTTCACCTTGATATATTTTTCTAGAGTTTTTATATGTTGATTATAATACAATTTGCTAATTATAAATAAAGAAAAAAATTCTGTTGCAATTTGTTTAAGGTTTATGACAATTTGACACTTTTTAAAAAACGCTGCTGGGTCCTTGATATTTTTTTTTGTTTTGAAACCGATAATGTTTTAATAAAACTCCTCAAACAATATACATTTAATATATTTTCGATAATGAAAAATATTCGATAATTATGCCATCAACTAATTTAGGCAATGCACCTTTTACCTTGATTTCCCCTTTAATTAAATATAAATATCATAAAAAGAAAAAAGTAAAATGTTCCAGTAATTAAAATATCGTTTACTTTGTATAATTCTGTTTTTTTCCTATTTCAAAGGAGTAACTGTCATATGGCGTAAGATGTGTCTATCATTTTTTTTTAATAGGTACTTGTTTTTAATTCATTTACAATCTATCGTACTTTTCTCAGATGAATTTTGTTTGAATGTGCTTTTTTGATCGATTTGTGAACAGATAAACACTTTATATTACATCTGAAAAGAAAGTGGTCAATAAAGTGTTAAAAATGTTTTGTTGTAAATGAGAAACAGTTTCAAATTTGCTGTCATTTAATGCATTATACTCATAAAACATATCAAGAAGAAGAAATTTTGCTTATTTAAAAATATTTATGAATATGAAAATCATGACTTGTTAATACATGCATATTAAATCTAGATAAAATCTTCAAGAAACATTCTGCATCCATAAATTAAAGAAATTAATATTACATGAATGATGATCATATTCTTAATTAAGGAATGAATTTAATAGCTACCCATTTTTTACGCTATAAACTGGGTTGGGGCAGTTTATGCTTTATAAACCGCGAAGCCGTTTATAAAAAAGCATAAACTGTTCCAATCCACTTTATACTGTATAAATTGGGTAGCTATTCATTTCATTCCTTATAATTTACTTTTCATTCATTTGGTGTAAAAATAAAAAGATGATTGTTCTTAAAAATGACTTCAATTTGTACAAAATTTGAATGTAACATTACGCGGATCGATACGTTTTTGATGAAAGTCATTGTGACGTAGGCAACCCATTTTATACGATATAAAGTAAATTTTTTTAAGGAATGAATTTAATACCTACCCAATTTATACGGTATAAAGTGGGTTGGGGCAGTTTACGCTTTATAAACCGCGAAGCCGTTTATAAAAAAGCGTAAGCTGTTCCAACCCACTTTATACTGTATAAATTGGATAGCTATTAATTTCATTCCTTATAATTTAAATTTTCATTCATTTAGTGTAAGAAAAAAGATGATTGCCCTTAAAAAATGACTTCAAATTGTACAAAATTTAAATGTAACGTCAGGCGGATCGATACGTTTTTGACGAAAGTCATTGTGACGTAGGCAACCCAATTTATACGATATAAAGAAAAATTTTTATCCAATCAAATGGTGCATTACAATCAGAATTAAATTATTATCCAATCAAATATAGTGTTACAACCAGAATTAAATTATTTGAGCATACAAAAATAGTTATTTAATTTTAATGCTTTGACCTTGAAAATACAGGTGGGTTTGCGTAATATATCTGTTTGAAAGATTGTGAAGAGAGAAAACGCTCGCTCATGCTTTCAGTGCTTTACTTCTGTATTTAAGTTTAAGTTTGATATTAATTTGATCCACCATGTAATTGTAGTCTCTAAACCAAATAAAATATGATCTGTGCATGCTTAGTACTTAGTGGAGAGGTCTAAGTCTTAGGCCCAGTCTTATGCCGCTTTCTGAAACGCGATTTAGGCCCGTCTAAATTTTGGCGTAACTTACTTAGTCGGACTAACTTAGGCCCAAATCTACGACTTTTTGAGAAACAAGCCCCAGAACCCCTGCCCCAGGGACCATGAAATTCATAATTTTGGAAGAGGCACCCTTCCTCTTCATAGCTATGTACATAGTTCATCAACTTAATACCCAGGAACAGAAGAGAAGATTTTCAAAGAATTAATGCATTTCCACTATATAATCATTAGAGCCCCACCCTAACATCAGAACCCCTGATCCAGAGGCCATAAAATTCACAATTTTGAAAGAAGCACCTTTGCTCATCATAACTATGTACATAGTTCATTGGTTTAATACCCAGGAGCAGAGGAGGAGATTTTCAAAGAATTAATACATTTCCACTATATAATCAATTGAGACCCACCCTAACATTAGAACCCCTGACCCAGGGGCCATGAAATTCACAATTTTGGAAGAGGCACCCTTCCTCGTCATAACTGTGTACAAAGTTTATTGGTTTAACACCAAGGAGCAGAGGAGGAGATTTTTAAGAAATAATGCATTTTCATATATATTCACCAGAGCCCTACTAGCACCAGAACCTGTGACCCTGGGGCCATGAATTTCATAATTTTGGTAAAGGTTTCAATACTTATTACAATCATGCCAACAGTTTGGCTGCTTAATGTTCAGGAGAAAAGAAGAAAATTTTTAAAGATTGCATTTATTTTGATGGTTTTAGCCCCATTCTCAGGCCCAACGGGGGCAGGGGCCATGAATTTAACAAATTTTACTCCCCTTCACCCATAGATGCTATATGCCAAAATCGTTGAAATTGGTTATGTGGTTTCAGAGAAGAATTCAGGGATTTTTTTACCCTTTGATTCCAGGGGCCGGGGCCGTCAAGATTGGGAAAAATAGCGATATTTGGTTGAAATTGGGAAAAATATCTTCATACAAATAAATAGGAAAAAAGAAGCAAAAGTCAAATATTTAATCATTTTTCTTATTATTATAGTATGAAGCTGGCTTAAACCAGCTTTAGTGATATGAAATAATACTAGTCGCTGTTGAAGTTCAGAAGCTTAAGAATGGCAAAGCCGCAGGGTATGATAACATTGTAAATGAACATATTTATACGTTGTCATCTTTTTTTACCTTTCTGTAAGAAGTTCTTTAAGATAAAATTTGAGAGTGGGTTTGTTCCAGATGATGGGTTAATCGATATTGTTTGACAAATTTATAAGAATAAGAGCGATTCAACCCAGCCTGCCTGAAAATTACCGTCCTAGGCAAACTGGAGAGACTGACATGATGCACGATTATTTATTAAATAACGATCCTGACTTTAATTTTAAAACATCGATCCCGCTTTAAAAAGTATGCATGCAAACATCCGTAGTATTCCGAATAACTTCTCGGAAGTCCTCGGATGGCTCGTACATCGCACATAGAGAACATAAACACCTTTTTGTCATTATTTTATTTTAATAATTTACAACTTAATACTTTTTTCATATTGGGAATTTTAAGGTATAATTTTGGGAAAAACATACACTTTTCAGCATTGGGAATGGGGCCGAATTTCGGCCCCGGAGAGACCCTAAAAAAATCCCTGGAATTTGAAAATGTTTAAATGTTAACGCACGACTGATGATGCATGTCGCACGACAGACGAAAATAGATAGCAATAGGTCACCTGAGTAAACTCAGGTGACCTGAAAATATGCCGATTTATAAACCATATCACTTGAGCAGTGCTAAAAATAATTTTCATTTTGCTGTTACTTTTTCATACATTTCTGTCTGAAAAGTTATGTCTAACACCTCACTAACAAGAGGCCCATGGGCCACATTGCTCACCTGAGTACAGTGGTTAGGAAAAAAGCAAAAATCAGTTCAGTATTGAAAAGCTTTAATGCATAAGTGTTCCCGACTTACCGCTAAAAGGGGGGTTATGATTTGAAAAAAATTAATCTACACCAACTAAAGATGCTTACATATTTCTTTGACTAACTGTGACTTTTTTCCCTACAACTTAAAACATTATGGTCCCACCCTACCCCTGGGGGTTATGATTTGAACAAATCTGAATCTACACTATCTGAGGATGCTTCCATATAAATATGTCCAATCATAGCTTTGCTGTTCTTGAGAAGAAGATTTTAAAAAAATATTCCTATGTATTCTTATGTATTAACATTAATCATCAATTGTGGCCCCACCCTATCCCCAGCTGGGGGTCATGATTTTTATCAAACACGAATCTACACTAACTTAGGATACTTCCGAATAGTTAATAACCAATCATGGCTTTACTGTTCTTGAGATGATTTTTCCTATATATCCTTATGTAAAACTTTGATTGTCCATTGTGGCCTCACCCTACTCTCGGGGGTCATGATTTGAACAAACTTGAATCTACCCCACCTGAGGATGCTTCCATGTAAATATGATTAATCATGACTTTGCTGTTCTTGAGAAGAAAATTTTAAAAAATTTTTGCTACATGTATATACCCGTATTCCTATGCAAAACTTTGATCCTTCAATGGGGACCCACCCTACCATTGGAGGTCAAGATTTGTACAAACTTGAATCTACATCACCTGAGGATGCTTCCATATAAATATGACCAATCATGGCTTTGTTGTTCTTGAGAAGAAGAATTTTAAAGATTTTTCCTATAAATTCCTATGTAAAACTTTGTGGCCCCACCCTACCCGTGGAGGTCATGATTTAAACAAACTTGAATATACACTACCTGAGGATGCTTCCATATAAATAAGATCAATCATAGCTTTGCTGTTCTTGAGAAGAAGATTTTTAAAGATTTTTGCTATATATTCCTATGCAAAACTTTGATTGTCAATTGTGGCCCCACCCTACCCCCAGGGTCATGATTTGAACAAATTTGAATCTATACTACCTGAGGAGGATTCCACATGAGTTTCATCTTTCCTGGCCCAGTGGTTCTTGAGAAGAAGATTTTTAAATGATGCCATTAATTTTCCACTAATTTGTTATTATCTCCCCTTGGAAGAGGGCATGGCCCTTCATTTGAACAAATCTGAATCCCCTTTATTCAAGGATACTTTGTGCCAAGTTTGGTTGAAATTGGCCTAGTAGTTCTGGAGAAGAAGATGAAATTGTGAAAAGTTTACAAAGACAACAACACAGACAACGATGACAGACAACTGACAAATTTCAGAAAAGCTCACTTGAGCCTTCGGCTCAGGTGAGCTAAAAATGTAAACTGATGTAAATGTGTTTTATTTATCAATTATTTCCACATACCTCAAACTCTTTCACAAAAAAGTTAGTGTGGCCCTGCAGAATGGGTCGATGATCAAATAATCTGGCATGAATTTCACTTAAATCTGAAAAGTATGTGATAAGGATTAAAGAAATATAAAAAAAAAATTGTAATTAACATGTGCCTGTGTTTCATTTTGACTCATTTGTTGTTTTTCGCAAGAGGTAAAGAATCTAGAGGTAAGCCACCTTTGATAAAAAAACAACAACATAATCCTAATTGTCTATTATATGTTTAAAAGTAATTAGCTTTTCAAAACTGCTTCTTTAAATCATGAATCCACCTCCAGTTAATGTCCTGTTTTTGATTACTGTAGTATTACAGTCTAGATTTTCAAACTAAATCTGGCTGAAATCAACAAAGAACGTCAGTTAGCTCAGCTCAAAGACTCTTTAGTTATGACGGATCAGTTTAGTAGAACCCCCAAAATGGAATACCGGTACACGATGAATGGGCTCGAAAAACTGTACATTTTGCGTACCGCCGGTACATATCACATGTATGATATACCCTCAAACAGGGGTTCTCCATCCCATCATGCAAGGCGCAAGAACAGTTACTCTTGCCATATCCAATATAAACAAACATATGTATATTATCTTTCTTAACAAAAAAGGATGATAACATTGTTATTTCTGCGATTAATAGAATTTCAACAAAAAAAATTAACAGGTTAATTATTCCATAAATTGAATTTATAGTCTGTAGTCACAACAAATCTCCTCAGTCACTTCATCAAATAATTTATCAATTTTGTGTGACGTCTAATTTTGTTATTTTTTTTCATTATAGAATTGAATACACAAAGAACAAGAAGCCCATTGGTAACATCGTTCACCTGAGCACTCTAGCTAGAGAAAAAGGAAATTAGTTCAGTACTGAAAAGTGAAATATAGAAGTGGTCAATCCTAACCCTGGGGGAGGGTTGGGTTGGGTGGTGGTGATGATTTGAACGGACGCTTGCTTCCATATTAATATGACTACCGGTAATCATGGCTTTGCTGATATTGAGAAGAAGAGTTTTAAAGAATTTTTTTCCTATATATTCCCATATTAAATGTAGCCCAACCCTACCCCCTGATCATGATTTGAACAAATTTGAATCTACATTCCCTGAGGATGCTTCTGTATTAATATTACTAATCATGGCTTTGCTGGTCATCAGGAAATGGTTTTTACAGTTCCTATATATAACCTTGATCTACTGTTGTGGCCCCACCCTACCTCCAGAGGTCATGATTTCATCAATCTTGAATCTACACTCCCTGAGGATGCTTCTGTATTAATATGTCTCTGTCATCATGGTTTTGCCGTTCTTGAGAAAAAAAAAAGATTTTTAAAGATATTTCCAACATATTCTTGTGCATAACTTTGATCCCTTGTTATACATTTTCTTGTAGGAAGTTCTACAGATAAACAGTTAAACAGGTCTGGACTATTTCCAATTAATATGGAAGTCACTGTAAGTTGCTTTAAATACCCTTCACATGATACTCGTAAATGTTTTTTTGTCAAATCAGACAACAGCATTTTCACACACCAAAGATACAGATTTCAAAGGACAAAAAGAAAACATGTGCTTTGTTTTTTTCCCTCAAAAAGATTTTACCGAGATTTTACTGACAAAAAATCTTTAGAAGTAAGATGAAAAGTTTGGAAGAATAAGGTATTCCTCATATATTTACCATGGACAAACTTGACATTTTCATCTTGGAAAGAAAAAAACATATACATTTAGTGCATGTAATAAAATGCCATATCACTTAAGGAGGAATATATCATATCATAAATATTAACAATTACAATCATATTATTTACCAGGAAATGCTCTCTGTTGGTAAATATGGTTATGATGCTTAGCAGCAAGCTGTCCAATTATCATCGATAATGTGAAGTTTCCAGTGAATAGATCAAAATACTGTATGTAAGACTAGTTTTATTTTTTAATAAAATTCACTGGTTTCACGAGTGCTGAAAACCATATGTTATATATACACTTTAAACAGGCATAAGTCCTCCCATACCATCCGAGAGATTAGGGTTAGTGACTCGTTCTTTTAGATTATTAGAAATTAGATTATTAAGAAATTCAGATGCACCTGTATTTTTTGCAAAAACTTAATTCTAGCTGCTTCAACGGCATCTTTTTGGTTTGTTAACATAAAAAAAGGGCTAAGTACGAAAGAAACAACATTAAGCATGCACCGCACATGCTTTGTTGACAATTATATTTTGTCGATTTTTCAATGTCAGAATTAACATTTAATTTTTTCAGAGAACAAGGTTAAAAACTTCTTTTAAAATCGAAGTTTTTACCTAAACTTTTCACCGTAAAATTCAATTTTGGGGTCAAAAAGGCCACAAACCTAGTACTTATTTTTTTTTTATCGCTTATGCAGTCTCATATATATTGAAGTCGCCTACGGTGACACTATATTTTAGAGGGTTTTTCGGACCAGTAAAGTTATTCCAAGAGCTTAAAAGAAATGTATTTCATTAAATATTGCACAAGACTTATAGTCTTGTTTAACCAGAATGAGACACTCGGCTGTCTCTGTAAATTCAGATGTCATGTGACGTCACAGTCTAGACTGTGTCTCATGCAGTATGAAGTCAACTTTACAAGTGTAAGCTGTGTATAGGTTTTTCATGGTACAACTGCGCTCGCCCCAACAATCAACTGTAAAATTAAACATATGCCACCGGGTTCATAGATGCGTGAGAGTCAGTCAATATATCAGGTCTCAGTAGCTCAGTGGTTAGAGCGCTGGCATGGTACGCCAGAGGCCCTGGGTTCGAGTCCCGGTTGAGACTTGATTTTTCACCACCTGTGACATTTGGCGCCCAACGTACAAATACCCACTATTCCCTAGGAACATGCCTTACAGCATTTCCTTAACTCCTAGAATTCGAGGACGAATTTCTACAAAGAGGGGGAATATGTCACCGGGTTCACAGGTGCGTGAGAGTCAGTCAATAGGGTCTCAGTAGCTCAGTGGTTAGAGCGCTGGCACGGTACCCCAGAGGCCCTGGGTTCGAGTCCCGGTTGAGACTTGATTTTTCACCACCTGTGACACATATTAGAAATTTATAGTTATTGTTTTTGACTTCCATATTAGGAAATTGTTTAGACCTGTTAAATGATATTGTTCTACACACCCTGTGTGGTGAGGGCTTGTCCCCGAGACACAGTTAGATGCATGTATTAATTATTGCACTTGTGTGTATTCCGTTTTGGGGGTATGGTTTTTCTTATTTTCGTTTAATCCGTGTTGTGAATAAGACTATAGACTGCTGGTCAACCCAAATGTTTTGGTTATATCAGTATTTTGGGTCAACAATGTTGACAACATGTCTGGCATGTGTGCTCCACAGTTGAAACATATGCCTGCAACTCCTATCAATTATTTCTTAACTATAATGACAAATTTTGCGCTTCACAAGCAGTGAAATAAAGAAATTATTTAACCTTTAAAAAGTTGTTGGTCCATCTCGGATCTCCGCCCATTTTTTTTCAAAGTTTCTTTCACAGAAATGCTTGGAAGTCACACTTAATCTCCCGTTCTCAAAGGACCAAAAGCGTTTTTGAGTATAAGACAATAAAAGTTAAAGCGTGTAATAAGTAATTCGGGACATTAGTTGTTTTCATTACTATCGATAAATTTGACCTTTGAAGATAAAATTATAGATGAATAAAAAATGTTCTATCTTTCAGAATATCCAAATAAGTTGGCTGAAACAAAAATTAGATCATAAATTTTAAAGTGTTCAAAATATGCACACTAGATGTCGCACTAAATTTCGTTTCCGCTTATGAATTCCAAAACACTGCAGAGTCTGACAGATGCAAATGCATCATTAAAAGTGATGGCAAGCCCTCAGAAAATGCAGCAATATATGGACCGACATAGGATCGGTCCTCTTTTTGAGGTGCAGTAGTAGCAATTGTATTATGTTCCTTAAAAATTATTAAGATGTATCAAACTTGTATGAACGTGTTGTTGGGTAAGCTAACCAGAATTTCCTCAATTTTTTCATAAAACTGATTAAGTATATTTTCAAAAACCTTTAATGAATATTTTGAAATAAACTCCATGGTGGAGTTAATGGCAATCTAAGTGTAACAGGGTCCTCCTTTTAAATTTTCTAAATGTTTTGCATAATATTATTTTGATGTGTGACCTAGTTAGAATAATCTAATTGTGTCTCGGGACAAGCCCTCACCACAGTTAGAATACGTCCCATATACTTGCAATGTAGCAAATCGGAGTGGATCCACTCCGAAATGATTTTGAAGAATACAAAAGGAGTTGCACTGAAAATAACTACCAAATTAATCATAACAAACCTTTTTGAGATTGTATATGCCTTTTAACCTAAAAAATAATCCATATAAATACGAAAATTCAACTCATTTTCTCAACGTTTTTTCCTCGCTTCAAATTTAACGCCATGTTGACATCCGGAACTCTCTGGATTGTTCATAGAAAATGCACAGAGTTCGAGTTATCGCCCGTGTTTATTTTGCTACATTGCGAATACACGGAACAAATTCTATCGTTAAACCGGGTCCGTAGGACAATATCATTTTAACGATAGAACATTCTATCTATGTGTGACCCTGAGAGCGAGTGCAGATGCGTGTTATTGGATACCTATTCAGTTTAAACTTAGATCCCCTCTTCAAACTGCATGAGACATTTGGAACGTTTAGAGGCAGACTTCATATGATGTCGCTTGTGAGTTGCATTAACATAACGAAGTCTGAAAAGTGCAAATTTTAACAACGAACGTTTAAATCTTCTACTATTTACATGTATCTGCAATATTCATTAAATTAAGGTGAATTTTTTATTTGGTGAATTTTTGTTGTTACATTGAGAATGTAGTTAGCAGCGAGATGCATTTGCATTGCATTGTGGGTCTCTAGGTTACTGCAGAAAACTAAAAAAAATGGTTGTGCTCTGCTGCCAAACCAAAGTTTTAATACATGTGAAGACAACACATATTTTCTCTTGTTTGTTTGTTTTTTTTACCCACTTTATCTACATTCAGAATTCCTTTCCCTGTTCAGTGTTCACAGTACTTAGTACATAGATTAGAGTTATCTCCCCCAGTCACTTCATTACCTTGCATATGCAATTGCCAGTATCACCCAATTCATTTTATAGACTTGATTTGAACCCCTCCCCTCCCGTACACTTGCACTGCAGATATTACATGTACTTGTTCACTGGATACTTTCTCACATACTGTATATCATTGTCTTGGCATATTTCTCCTTTGCTTCATGCTTTTTGGCAACTGCTAGGTGTATTAATAGCATGAATCAATTTATTTTTCAGAATCTCATGAACAAAGTTCTCCATGACCAGCCTGATGACCCACTGGTATATCTTATTAAAGTTCTGCATAAGAAGGCAGGATTAGAGGCTCCCAGGGACCTGAAGACTCAGGGGGTCAGAAGAAGTTCCCCGGAAAGAATGGGTAATTTTCACAACTGTAGCATCTGTCATCATGGTCATTTTTATGGCAACATATGATAGAACTCTTTTTTTTTTTTTTTTTTTTTTTTGAAAGTAAGGACTTCGAGAGAATAAATAGAGAAATTGGTACAATTCATTATATGAGAAATTATGAAATTTTTATATACTATAAATATACTTTTTTCCATGGGATCAAAGTTGCGCAGAATCACAATTTCTTTTCAATCCACAGGTAGAAAATTATGCAGATACTAGGAGATGTTTTTTCTTTTAAGTGAGAAATAAACCATGTTGATAGACAGAATGATATACATGTATATTTTATTTTACTTTGAGACAAAAGGTGAAGGTGAAGTGATGTTCTCAGGGATGTTTTTTTTTTTATCTCTATCTCAAATGCAAACAACTAGTTACTGTTATCATGAAATGCAAGATCATGACCTATTCTTTACAACCTTAATATTTGTGTTTTTAATCATTAAATTTTATAGTCAGAAGCAGAAGTCCTGACATAAAGAAGACAGCATCAACATGGGGATCTTCACCAATTGGTGTGTACTAATATTGGAACTTGACAATATTTATTCAGAAAATCTGATTGGATTGGACAATAGGCAATGCCTATAAGTATCCTCTCCATACAATGTACTAATATTGTCCTTATCTAACTGTAATCCAATCAGTACATCAGTATTGACCTGTAAATAATAATAAAAAAATTAGAAATACATTTAAGAAATGAATTTAATTTTTGAAGATTCACAAGGAGATAAACTACGACGCTTCACGCCGGCATATTATTCATAAAGCGTGTTAGCACTTCATGATAAATATGCTGACATGAAGTGCCGTAGTTCATGTACCTCATGAATTTTCAAAATTTAAATTCATTTCTTATATTAACATTATTTTTCTGCTGAGTTGCCACAAATTATGCCATTCAACTGTCATTTTTAAAGCAAAACAGTTTGCACTATAGTTTTGACATCAAGTACGGTATTATGACGTAATAATTGAATATATTCATGCTCATTCATGGTAGTTCATGAGAAAATGAACTGTTTTCTATTTTGTAAAGAATCATAGGGGAAATTTATTGGAAATGTAAAGATAAATAAATGATATAATCAGTGATAAGCTAAAAAAGTTCATGAGGGAAATGAACTATAAACCAAAAGACATATCCAAGCATATTTCATGTAGCACATGAGCCATCCACATGTGTATTGAATGTATTTTTTGAGTGACATTAATTAATAGAAAATAGTTTCTTAATCCCACAAAATGCAAAATAGCAAAATATAAGAATTCTTTAAAGAATTCCAAAGCCATAACTGACAGATTTATGTGCAACCATTCTTTTTTAAGAAAAGAGTAGATTCAAAGGATTTATTCAGCCCATGGCCACAAAGGGATTCTAAGTTTTTTTAAAATATATATTCTTCTAAGGAATAACACAGTCTACAGATAGTCATATGTTCATATTCAAATGTCCTCAATTTTTTCTAATCTTGACCCTTACAGCAGGGATGAGGGAGCAATTAGAGCAATTAGGAGGAAAGAAAAATCCCTTGATAATGAATATGCAAGTTTCTCACAAAGTACAGATTTACTTTTTTTCAAAGTTTGGCCCCTTTAGCAGTTTACAACAGAGGTTCAAAGTGTTACATGGCAATACATTTATAGTCTTTATAGATGAAAAAAAACTTTTTTAACCATAAATAATTAAGACCATTGGGTCTTTGTTGATTAATTGGATCTGTTGTTTGTTGCAACACTTGGATCTGTTGTTTTGCAAAAGTGCATGTTTAAAATGAAAAATATACAATGTAAAATGTGAAATTTCTGCTGATTTGTATTAGGAGAAGTGGAGCGCTCCTATGACAAACCCTGGTTATCCAGTAGTAAGAAAGTCAAGCCCAAGTCTGAAGACTTCTCAGCCATGAAACAAGGTAAGACAGAGAAATCAATATCAAAATGTAATAAAATGTCTCATTTTTAGCTCACCTGAGCCAAAGGCTCAAGTGAGCTTTTCTGATCAAAAAGTGTCCGGCATCTGTCTGTCGTGTGTTGTCTGTAAAATTTTCACATTTTCAACTTCTTCTAAAGAACCACGGGGCCAATTTCAACCAAACTTGCCACAAATCATTCTTGGGTAAAGGGGATTTAAGTTTGTTCATAGGAACTGCCACGCCCTCTTTCAAGATGAAATAATTAAGAATTCATGAAAATTTTGTGGCATTTTTTAAAAATCTTCTTCTCAAGAACCACTGGGCCAGAAAAGATGAAACTTATGTGAGAGCTTCATTACATACTGTAGATTCAAGTTTGTTCAAATCATGACCCCCTGGATAGGGTGGGCCATAACAGGGGATCATCAAAGTTTTACATAGGAATATATATGAAAAATTTTAATTTTTTTTTTCTCAAGAATACCTAGGCCCTGTCTAGTCACATTAATACAGAAGCATTCTCAGGTAGTATAGATTCAAGATTGTTCAGGTCATGACCCCTGGGGTAGGGTGGGGGCACAACAGGGGATCAAAGTTTTACAATTGAATTTATAGAAAATATCTTTAAAAATCACCTTCTCAAGAACAGCAAAGCCATTATAAATCATATTAATACAGAAGCATCCTCAGGTATTGTAGATTCAGATTCATTTAAATCATGACCCCTGGGTTTAGGATGAGGCCACATTAGGTAATCAGTGTTTTATACTGGAATATATAGGGAAAAATTCTTTAGAAATCTTCTCAAGAACAGCAAAGTCATGATTAGTCATATTAATATGGAAGTAGGTCTGTTCAAATCATCAGTTAGGGTTAGGGTAGGACCACTTAATATATATTTAAAACTTTTTAGTACTGAACTGATTAATGTTTATCTCTAACCAAAGAGCTCAGGTTAGCGATGTGGCCCATGGGTCTCTTCTGTCTATCCATCTAACTGCCTGTCCATCCATTACAAAAATATCCAGGAATTACTTTGGATCCCTGGATTAAAATGAATTCAGCCTTTAGCATGTAATTTCCAATATCAGAATTAATGTTTGCATTGTTTGAGTCAAGGACAGTTTTTAAAGGTGTAGGCTTCTAAGCTGTTAAATGTTGAAATCATGTCACAGATTGTGTCTGGCCTAATCATGATCTATGTTTTTAGGTCAAAGTCAATGGGTTATGAAATGTTAAGAGCCATTCTCTGTAATGACTTGAACTTTTATATAGGAGCTGTGGCACGCATAGTCTCAGAATTTCTCCTAACTCTCTATGATAAAAGTCTTTGATACCGTAAACTCAAATCAGGCAAAAATTGGTTGCTACGTGTCATGGTTACCATAGCAACATGTCCTAACGTTTGAAAAATGGCATTTTTCAATATGTTTAGAGTCCTCCAGTTAACGTTTGCAGCAAAGCAAACAAGTGGCAATGACTGTTTCTGAAAGTTGAAGGCCTGATGTCTTAAATGCATGATAAACATGTTTGGTAAATCAACTATTACATACGTTACTATGGAAACAAAGTATTCAAAAGTAATAATTTTGTTCAATTAATTTTATAAAGTCATATACTTAAGAATAAAAACAATTATAGGTTGAAATGCAAGCAAATAATAGACAAGAGGTCCTTGTATCATATACCAAGGACGAAATATGATATTTCTTATAGGATGGCAACGGTTGCTATGGTTTATTTACCTCGAAAGGATTTTAAATTTACTCTCTTAGTGTTTTAATCTTATCCTATCTTTTTAAAAAGCATATTTCTATATAACTGATGATCAATTTTTAAAGGCATTGGTGTTACCCTAATTTTCACATTTCAAAAAATTCAAACTCAATTCTTTAAATAGAGCGTTGCTATGGAAATTAGCCAGAAAAATATGCATAAAAATCTGAAAAATATTCTGTTTCCTTGGATACGCACCCTTGTAAGTAGATTCCCAAAACTTTTATGATTGATACATATGAACAACTAACCTGACTTTGAATTTTGACTACCACCCAATCTCTAACTGGATGCAAAAAGCTGGCACATAGGGTTTAATATTGATATAAAATTAACAAAATTGAACATTTTCCCTTCTTGGTAACCATAGCAACAGTGTTGTATTTTTCAACAAACTTTATCAATATATGATATTCAACTTTAGTTCTACCAGTTAAGTAGTATTCAAGGTGAGTCAAATAATATGTTTCTTGATTAAAAGGTAAGTAAATTCCTAAAGGAGCAAAAAATATCACTTTAAACAACTGATACGTTGTTTCCATGGTTACAATGCAAAGTAACATTTAATCCCAATTTTTCTTATGTTGTCGGTGTTGCAAGGTTCCAAGGATGCATATGTGTTAGTCATGAATTTTATTGTTTTTCCTCAAGATAGTAGCATTAACCCAGTCATTGCAACAGATTTTGCATGGTTACGCTGTGTTACCATGGCAACCATGAAAGTTATTTTTAGAATAATATTGCCAATACCTAATTACATAAGGTCAAATATTTTTTATTGTTTTTCTTAGGTTGTTGATTGACTTTGATCATGTAACATCTATCATTGGTGAATATTGAGCGTTTTTCAGCATTTTTCAGCATCTAAAATGTATTCCAAATGTACCCATGGTTACCACTTACTAAGAGATAAATTCTAAATAGTTTCTTTATAGCATAAGTGGCAACAAGGTGTCATGTTTTTGGGAGAATGGTTTGTTTGTTTTTCTTAGTCTTTATTAAGGTGTAATAAAGATTCAAAGAAGCTGAAAATCTCAATTTTTTCAACTTTTCTGGCTGTTACCATGGCAACCAAGACACATAGCAATGAAATTTTATTTAATATATGTTTCTGGTGTCAAGTTGTAATAATGGGCAAAGTTTCATCAAAATCAGTGACCATGCGTGGCAAAGAAGTTTAAGTGGTTACAGAGAATCGCTATTAAAATCTTTTAAGAAATTATGTCTAAGTTGTACTTTAGTAACCTTTGAAATTAACACAGACTTTTTTTGAATGTCCACATGAGGTGCATTTTTAGATTCCCAATCATATTTCAAAAGATCTCAATCCCAATCATATCTAAAAGATCACATCCCTCTATCTCTCGAGATCACAATCCCAAGCATATCACAACAGATCACAATCCCATCCATATCTCAACAGATCACAATCCCTCTATCTCTCGAGATCACAATCCCAATCATATCTCAAAAGATCACAATCCCATCCATATCTCAACAGATCACAATCCCTCTATCTCTCGAGATCACAATCCCAATCATATCTCAAAAGATCACAATCCCAGTCATATCTCAAAAATTTACAATCCCATTCATTTTCAAAAGATCACAATTCCAATCACATCTCAGAAGATCCCATCCCAATCATAACTCAGAAGATCACAATCCCATTAATATCCCAAAAGATTACTATACCAATTGTATCTCAAAAGATCACAATCCCAAACATAACTCAAAAAGATCACAAGGACATGAAATGTTGAATACATTATACAAATCTTGTCAAGGTGATAGCAGTGCAACTCTTGAGGAAAGTAAATGAAATCAGTAGCATGATATTGCCAGTGACATTTGGTATGACATATCTCAATTCATGTTATCATCAAAAAGAAGGTAATTTAAGGGAATGAAGACCATGAGTAACGTTAGGAAGGTAGGGTAGGATGGGAGACATCCATTAAAGAAGAAGAAAAACAACATCCAATTCCTTTCAGCTTCTTCTGATTCGCTGTGTGTGATGGTGGTCCAACACAAAGAAATAAGAAAACCTCCAGTTCCATCCCTCAGGTACCCGCAAACCCCATTTGCCCCTGATCTAGATAATCTCCAGGAGGTGCTTTGTGTTAAACAGAAACCAATTATGCCAGGTTATTTTAGAAATCTTAGCATGATGCCTTGGTGATTGAGTCCTAGGTATTGTGTTATGTTCTGTTATGATTTAGCTTGTAAGAATGATCATATATAGATTTCTATGCACTACACGTAGTACATACATGTATATGTGTCTCATAACATAATGTTTGTTTTGTACCAGCTCTGTTCATTAAACAATCATAACAAAGAATTAAAAAAGCAGGGAAAATGAAAATGAAAAAAAAATTGATGTTGAATAATAATCTAAGCATATGTGTTTGATTTTGTATATTTTAACACATCTATTCTATGGTTGTTCTTAAATTTCAAAATTATATTTTCATATTCTGCAATGTACATTGTTAATTAGGAAAATATGAAGAAGTTTCAAAGTAGGTTATCCCTGGGATTTGTTTGGTTGAAATAATTTTATTGACTCCCTCAAAGCATCAACCGATCAATCTTTATGGTCATTGATCATAAGACAAAAATTAGGAATTATTTTGACTTTGACAAAAAGATGTGTGCATAAACTGCATATTTTAATGTTGGTTTTCCTCAGCAGTGAGACTACATGTAAAATCTAGTGTTTGGCCTCTGTGTTGCCAATAGCTAATTTTTTTTAAGACAGTGTAGTAGGAAAGGAGAAAATGTATGGTTGGACTGGGAATCGAACCTGGGACCCCTGTATTACTAGTCAGGTGCTCTACTACTGAGCTACCCAGGTTGATATCCACGGTCTGTATAGCCTGAACTTCTACATAAGGATAGAATTTTCTTTCAAAATAGGATTGAGGATATACTATTTAGAGGTAATTTTCCTGTAAGTAGTAAATAAATCATATTTAAGCAAACCGTTAATTTTTATAGTCATGAGTTTAAAATTTATGGTCATTTTATGTGCTTGAGAAATGAAAAAAAAAAGATGTAGAGAGATTCTTTATCCCCCTTTCTCCTTTTTATACTTTAAAATATCCATAATTTAAAAAATAAAAAATGCAGATGGAAGAAAAACCCTGCAGGAATTGAATCCTTACAAGAATGGAAAGTGCATTGATATGTGTCAATCAAACCCATCTCAAAATTTATAATTTTGGTAATTTTCAGATAAAAGAAGTTTCTTAACAAGCTTTTAAATTATATCGATTGGAAATGCTCCAGCAACATGTAAGTCATAATATTATATTGCATATTTAAGAAAATATTAACTTCAAATCAGTGTCCAAGCCCCTTTAATCAAATCTTAGAATTACTAAGCCATGAAGATGGAATCCTCAGTCCATAGATTCTTAATCCAATTTTAAAGGATTTTATAAGACAAGAGTCAATTTTGGCCCCCATAAATCAACATTTTTAAATGTAATTCAGGTATGATAAATTGTTTTTATTTTGTTGAAGAGTTTATATTGGAGATATTTTCAACACATTTGGCTCATTTATGTGTACTCATTGAATGGCTGTAAATGATGTAGAAATGATGCTAATTTTGCAATCCAATCAAAATAAGACAAAATGTGCTTTTTTCTTGACATTTTTCCAGTGGGAAACAGAGAGCACAGCTTTGAACAAGCAAAATTTTTATGTTAGTAATTATAATATATAGTCTTGGATAGATACATCTTTGGTGAAAATATAAAGTTTGTTCAAAGCTTTGCTCAGTATTTTCTGGAAGAAACACTGCTTGAAAATAAGCAATTTTATACAAAATATGCTTAAATGGCAGGAAAAGGTGAACTTCCTGATGTCATACATGTATTTCTAAATTAATGGCCTTTTGATCAAATTGAAAATCACAAATAAACGCTGTGTGTATATATAGCTGTACAATGTAAACCTATATATATGAAATAAAATTAAGATATTAGTTTTAAGGGGCCATATGAAACACTTATCATATACATTTCTTTATTGAGCTATAAAGATTATAAGCCAATGAAATACAACAGGATAAATAAATGATAGAGAATTGACATTTCCTGCTGCCTTTTTTGATGTAATTAAGGTGTAAATGACTGAAAATATTGATAACAGCTGTTAGTATATGAAATACATGTCCGCAACTACCATTTAGGCAGCCAAGGCATCTTCCAAGGTAAACATGGTAAAACAAAATGAAGCTTATATAACATGGTTTTATTTGTTGAATCGAGATATAGAGATCTAGATATAAACCAGGAAGCTAGTGTGTTACTGTACTTTGATTGCTTATTTAAGCACCCTTTTCAATACAATTAGGCTAGATTATATGATGACCCTTACAAGTATTTCCTAAATAAAATCAATGTATATGGCAAACAAAATAAAAACCTACTAGGTGCCATAGTTCAGTTGCCAAAAGAAGGTGTTTTAGTGAGTGGTATACCCACCCAGTGTATTCCCTGTGCTAAGCATTTGAAGTGGAAAAAGCAAGTCCTGTGATTGAGACCTTAAACTAAGTTCTTGTGTTGCAGCAAATATAGCATGATGAAGAACAAAGGCGGATCCAACCTGAGCCCCCCCCCCCCCCCCATTTGATTTTTTTTTATAATGTCTATGTAACAAATAAATAAACAAATACATGTATGTAGAACTTATATGTCCATTATCCTAAAATTGAGGGAAAAAACACCTCTTATTTGTAAGAATTTGACAGCCCCCCTGACCCCCACCAGGGCTTTGCCCTGGACCAACAGGGGGCTTCAATGCAGCCCCCAGAACCCTGCCTTCTACTGTCCCCCTCCCCTCCCCAGAAAAAAAGCCCCACAGAAGAGAATATGACACAATAATTAGAAGTTTAGTGGAAGGACTTAGTATCCACAGTACATTACTGTATGTTGTTTGAAAAGCAGTTGCTGCATAGTCTCAGTAATTGATTAGTATATGTATTATCATAGTGATTATGACTTCCAACAGTCAAAAGAGTGTTTTGAGTGAAGGAGCTAGGATAAATAAAGAATTCCTGTCCTAAAACTCAGGTGCTTAGGGGGGGGGGGTTAACCCCTGATCCCCACTTAAAGTTAGCAAATTTCTTTGAAGGTTCCACAAAATTGGGGCAACAGGAAGTTGGGTGGACTGGGTATGGACACCAAGGCAATGGATGGATACTAGGCAATATGATAGACAATCACTGTATATTGTTTAATTTTGAACTGGGAGACTGCTTATTGTGCAACATCTCGGACCATAATTGGTAATCACCAACTTCATACCTGGGCAAAAGCGGTGCGCAGTACACGTTGGGAAATTGGTTTTTGGACAAAAAGGCCATTTAAGGGTCTTGTCATGACTCCAAGACAATTGTCAATTACACTGTATTTGAAAGGATGGCATATTAAATATAACAGTACCAATTAGACAAATGTTCAATTCACAAAGAAGAATTAATAAAAAGTGGTGCGTTAGCAATTTTGTCTAGTGTATGTACTTCAATTTATGCTGAACAGAAACTGCCCATTCTCTGTGGAAATGTCATATGTAACTATATATAGCTTAAAAATATTTATAATTATAAATACATAACATAGGTAATTGAAAACTTGTTTACATTTAGTTAAGAATTTATAAGACTTAGTGTATTTTTTTTCTTTGAGACATAACCACAGGCTTGGGTTTTTAATCCATATGAATTTGATTACTTATTAATAATTAAACATACAAACACATGTTTTTAAGCAAGCTGATGTAAAGTATTGTGGGAGGTAGTTGATTATATATAATTTTCTGAAGTAAATACATATATCCTACGTCAGTATGACATCTGGATAACTGTTATGACATCAAAACAATTAAAATTAGCATGAAGAGAGGGAAATAGAAAGGTGAAAATTAGATTTAATTTACATGTAATCATTGATTTGCGTCATGTCAAAACCAACAACACTAACAACAGATGTTTATTTCATTGCACTAAAGCTTTAAATTATCATCCATTTATGAAATACTTATTAAATTAAAAGAATTTCTTTTTTGTGTTGAATTAAAATGAAGTTTGCAAAATGATATTGGAGGTAGTGGGTTCTTCAGCATTGCAGAATCAACACAGGAATGGTTACTCTGTATGTCTCTCTAATATAAAAGCATGCTACTAATGGCAAACGAAGTGGGTTTTTTTCCCTGCAAAAATGGCCCCATTTGTTTCTGTTTTCTGCATGATCAGACTAAAGGTTAGAACACACATGCTGCAATTGTATCCCATGCAATTAATCTCAGACAAATTGCAGTGAGTGTACTGCATGGGTAAATATTAGCTGCATGCAACAGTTTGATGACACTATACAATTATTGCTGTTTTCGAGGTCAATACAATGATTTAGCCATTTGAAGAGTACAATAATCACCGGGCTCGAAGGACGAGTTGAATATTGTATTTCAGGGTTGCTAAATCATCGTATCATTGACTGAAAAAACAGCAACAATTGTTTTATTTGTGATTTTATTAATGATTAAATGATGTAAACCATGCCATCTTTCTTCTTAAAATAACTGACAGTTATTTTAAGTCTTGATAGATCTAGATATACCATCAGCAAGTTTTAAAGAGATTTGAGCAGAGTAAAGGTATACCAGAACAGACAAAGAAAATTGTAATATTCTGAAGCGATCGGCAGTTGCTTAAAAAAAGATTCTTGGCAGACTTAATAGGATAATAGTGCTAAGGAAATGGTAAATCTTACAAATGTTCAGCATAGGCTATTCTACAGAATACTTTAGACACCTATTTTGCATAAAAATTTTGCTTTTAGTTTGTTTTGTTATAGATCTATACTTCTATGGATTTTTTACAGTGTTGTATTATACTCAGGTGACCGTTGGCCCTTGGGTCTCTTGTTCTACAACGTCGGATCTCAGTCAATCAGAGAGCTAGGAATTATTCAGTCACATATTGCCAAAACCATCCTAATTAGTTGTGATATGCCAGCAATTGACCAAATGCTTCATTAAGAGTCTATCATACTAGATACAGAGGGGTACTGAAAAAATAAAATGAAGATAATACATGTATACATACTTATTAAGTGCACAGATATACATTTGATACAAATACTTCAAAATAAAATTGTAAATTATTAGTAGGTTCATGTTTTTGGGTAATATTAATGTTTAATAGATGCATGGAAGCAGGAACAGTGACTGTCATAAACTGTTAGCCCACATTGTGTTGTTTATTTTGATATAGGAAGAAAGCAACCCAAACAGAACTGGAACCCTGACACTAAGGTGGGGAAGACCAGCTTTGACGATTTATTTGATGGAAATTCAGAGGAGATGAAAAGTGTACCTAAGAAGAGAGAGGTGTTAACAGATGCAAAGCATACCTGGGCTACAGTAGGACTTGGGGTAAGTATACCTGGACAATAGTAGGGATGGGGTAAACATAGTGGAGCCACATTAGGGCAAGGGGTTAGTATACCTGGGCCTTAGTAGGACTGGGGGGTAAACGATCACATTAGGGCTAGGTGTGAGTAAACCTAGACATAAGTAGGACTAGAGGTAAACACAGCTGAACCTCGGTAAGCTAGGGGTAAATACACATGGCCCACAGTAGGGCTAGTGGTATGAATACATTGACCACAGTAGGATTTGGGGAGGGGCTGGGAGGTAAGTAAATATACCTGTGCCATATTAGGGCTTGGGGTAAACAAGCCGAAGGTGTTTATGCATAAAATTATCGCGCAAGCCAATCGATTGATCATCGTCATGAAACCAAAAAATCTGACAGTTATTCCTTATATTTACATGCTCTTCACTCTGCAAATTCAAGTGCTACAAGCCCCGCTTCTGTCTCTATTTGTCCCGCCCCGCACTTGATTTTTTTTCACCATGCCTATCGATGAACCAGTAGATTTATGTAGAAATAAAGTGTTTTTACTATTTGAAAATTTATCTCAGACAAAGATATTGGAAATGTAAATATGTATATATCATCTATTTCAACAAGTGATGATGATATGATTATTATATTGAATATATCTGCAAAGTTCTTACAAAAGGGGCATCAAAGGATACAATATCTGTTGGTAATCAATGAATATAATGTAAGGACTCCTTTAATTCATTGTAGGGTTATGAGGACTCCTTTAAATCATTGTAGGGTGATGAGGACTCCTTTAATTCATTGTAGGGTTATGAGGATACATTTAATTCATTGTAGGGTGTTGAGGACACCCTTTAATTCATTATACTAGGGTGATGAGGACACCTTTAATTCACTATAGGTAGATGAGGATACCTTTAATTCATTGAAGGGTAGTGAGGACACTTTTTATTCATTGTAGGGTGATGAGAACACCTTTAATTCATTGTAGGATGATGAGGACATCTTTAATTCATTGAAGGATAATGAGGACACCTTTAATTTTTTGTAGGTAGATGAAGACACATTTAATTTATTGTAGGGTGATGAGGACAACTTTAATTCCTTTTAGGGTGATGAGGACACCCTTTAATTCATTGAAGGGTGATGAGGACAACTTTAATTTATTGTAGGGTGATGAGGGCATCTTTAATTCATTGTAGGGTGATGAGGATACCTTTACAAGTGGCGTATACAGAGGGCCAAAAACTCTCCTCAGTGAAGATGATCCTTTGGCAGGGGAGCTAATGAACAACAAAACTGAAGGCAGTGAAAAAACAGACCAAAATCTTGTGAGGTAAAGTTATACCAAATGATCAGAAAAAATATGTAGTTCGGCCTTGATAATCTTGGTGCTTCATCTTCTGAAAGAAATTTGTAGGGAACAAATTTTAGGTTTCAATGTATGCGGGTTAGTTTAAAAAAATGATTAGACACATTTTTATCAACCTGCACTAAATATACAGGCAATGTGAATAAATTTCTATGACTCAGCATATGTATTTTGATTTATCATATTGGCTCAATACCTGCCAAATATCCCATTGCTACATGTATTTTAGGTCACTAAAAAGATGCTAAAATGTCAGGAGTGCAACAATATGAAAATATAATATATTTTGAAGATCTGTGAAATAAATAATAATGGTTTATGTTGAAAATAAAGACTTTCCTGATAAAATTCAGTATACTGAGCTTTAAGTTTAGACTGTTAACTTTTGTTTGCATGACCAAGTTATGGTCATGAAAAAAATGGAGTGCAAAAGAAAAAATATAGTGTTGCCAAAAAACATTGATTTAAAAAATCTGTATGACAATTAAATGAAAAAAGAATTAAAAAAATGTAAATAATAACTTATATACCATTTAAAAGCTTTTGATTTTATATGAATCACAAGCAGCATTAATGGGAGTTGAGTATCTGTGCATATATAGCCATTTATGTTTGGATCGAGTGCAACTTTTGATGTTTTGCTAACCAACATGGAGAAATTTTTATCAGTATGTAATTGAAAAATATGTTATGGTCACTTAAATTTTTAAAAATAAAATAAAATTTTCTGGTCATTGTTTTTGAATTCACCCATATCTACCAATTACTAATATAGAATTACATTTCAGTAATACAGATGCTTCATTTATGTAATTGTACATAGAAATAATTGATCAGATAAAAATACTGATAAAGTGAAAGGTGTCAGGAGGCAAAAAGATGTCCTTATAGAAAGTCAGTCATGTAAATTAGAGAGCAGCAACAATAAGGGGCCTATAATGTTTTTGTAGAAAGTCTGTTTATTGTCTTGGATCGAGGGCAAAGTGTTTTTTGTTAGACCCAAGAACCAAACTCTTTGCCTGAGGCCATAAGGCCATTTCTTAAACTAATTTTTTTTCATTATGAATTTGCCTTAAATCAAATAAAGTAATCCAGTTTATAATGCAGTGAAATAATTAAGACATTTTTGGAAACAAATATTTATTTATATTAGAATAGAGGCAGGAAAAAAATCATTTGTTGTTCTTCCCTGACAGCACATAAATGTTAATTAAAGCCTCAAGATATATATTCCTTGAAATGTTTAATACTTTGATTTTTTTTTGCGAACCATTTGCAGTTCTGGTCATGTAAGGGGTAGAAGAGTTGATGCCAAAAAACACAGAAAAGAGTTAGAGGAATTAGTACAGAATTCGGATCCTAAATCTAGTGATTCTGGATATGAGGAGAATGGGGAAGGTTTGGAGGAAGAGGATGAGGCACTCGAGTTACTGGGTAAGACTTATACTGGTCAGAGGAGCTTATAAAATACTTACATATACATGTATAATATCCCCCATACTAATAACTTTTGAAACCTTAGGATGCCATGTGGTCCCCCAACTTCACAAGTTTTAATAGCTCACATTGATATTTTTGGGCCCACTTATTTTTTTCCACTTAATTAGTGAAAAAAAAGTGGAGAATTCAAAATGAAAAAAAAAATCTTGATCTTTTCATATCATAATGTTTGCTGTCCACAGTCTTTCATTTTTCTGCTGATTTCAACACCATTTCATAATAAAGTTGATGTGATTGGAAAAATTCCAATGAAATTCTTACTAACTACAGGGGCAATAACATTCTCGAGAATTGGTCGCCCACGAACATTATTATACTTGCAACTACAAGTGGGCAAGTGTTTATTTGCAAGCCTGCTTGTAGATGTCTATTTAGCCATCGATCTCTTGTTAGCTCTACTGGTCAGAGATAAGAAGAGCTTAAGGTCAAGATCTAGTAAATGAAAGGTGCCTACAGATTTTTCAAATTTGAGAAACGAGTTCTTTTAATGATCCTTTACAAATATAGCTTGCAAAAATAAGGTATTTCGGGACATAATTTTTTGATAGACTACACGAAAAAACATATATTAAACTGTAATTTTTAATGAAAAACGAAGGAAGTCAGGTATAAATTTCGGAGTTTTCTCCATCTCAGAAAAAAGACATGTATCAATATTGCCTACAATCTTTCAGAAAACGGTAATTCGTTTCTTCTTAACCTCTACTTCAAAATGACATTAAACTGAATATAGATATCGGGGTTACTTTTGACATGATTTCAAACTGAATACAATGAAAATGCTTCATTTTCTACATAATTCTATTACAACCGTAAAATACGGGAAAAATTAAGCTTAAATCAATTATGACGTCATAATGGATCTAGCACCAAAAAGACAGTCTAAGGTTATTTACTAGATCTTGACCTTAAGCGATAGTAAGTTGTATGTCGTCCGTCCGTCTTTCTGTCTGTTCATCCATCTGTCTGTCTGTAAACAATTTTTCAAAATGCTACTCCTCCTACAGTTTTGGTCTGATTTCAATATAACTTGGCACACAAGTACACTACACTAAGATTCATAATTCTGTATATCAGTTTCTGATTTCGATGAACGGTGTTGCCATGGTTACTAAAAATAGAAATTTTTGTGAAATACTTTCAAAATGCTACTACTCCTACAGTTTTGGTCTGATTTCAATATAACTTGGCACACAAGTACACTACACTAAGATACATAATTCTATATATCGGTTTTTGATTTCAGTGAACGATGTTGCCATGGTTATTAAAAATAGAAATTTATGTGAAATACTTTCAAAATGCTACTCCTCCTACAATTTTTGTCTGATTTCAATATAACATGGCACACAAGAAGACTACACTAAGGTACATAATTCTATGTATTGGTTTTTGATTTCAATTAATGATGTTGCCATAGTTACTAAAAATAGAAATTTCTGTGAAATACTTTCAAAATGCTACTCCTTCTACAGTTTTGGTCTGATTTCAACAAACATGGCACACAAGTAGACTACACTAAGATACATAATTCTGTGTATCGGTTTTTGATTTCGATTAATGGTGTTGCCATGGTTACTAAAAATAGAAATTTCTGTGGAACTTTCAAAATGCTACTCCACCTACAGTTTTGGTTTGATTTCAATATTACTTGGCACACAAGTAGACTACACTAAGATACATAATTCTGTAGATGAGTTTTTGATTTCAATGAATGGTGTTGCCATGGTTACTAAATATAGAAATTTCTGTGAAATACTTTCAAAACTCTACTCCTCCTACAGTTTTGGTCTCATTTCAATATAACTTAGCACACAAGTAAATTACACCAAGATACATAATTCTGTATATCCATTTTTTGATTTTGTGAAGTGTTGCCATGGTTACAAAAAAGCTGAAATTTCTTTGACATATTTTCAAAACATTACTTGTCACCCGCGTGGCGCAGTGGTAGAATGTTTGCTGCAGAGTCGCAGAGTAAGGAATTGATCCTTATGTTGCGGGTTCAAATCCCACTGTGGGACATGGAGACCAGTCCTTCGGATGAGACCGTATAAACCGAGGTCCCGTGTCGCAGTAGGTGCTGGCACGAAAAAGATCTCTTACTGCTCAATGGCCCTGAGTGCCGAGCATGGGTCAAAATTTGCAGCTCTCCACCGGCAAGTGGTGGCGTCTCCATGAGTGAAAAATTCTTGAGAGGGACCTTAAACAACAAACAAAATATTACTTCGCCTACAGTTTGGTCTGATTTTAATATAACATGGCATGCAAGTAGACTACACTGAGGTACATATTAGTCTTTATTTTTTTTTTTTGATTTGATGAATGATGTTGCCATGGTAACTAGAATCAAAATTTCTCTAAAATTCTTTTTAAAGGCTACTCTTTCTACAGTTTTAGTCTGATTGCAATTCATCTTGCAACAAAAAGAGAGTAAAACAAGGATTATTATTTATTTATTGCTGTTGCAAAGTTTCAAGTCCAAGTGCTACTTTTCTCTTCCTTTGTTATAAGTACAAACCAGTAGAGCTACAGTCTCGACAGAGACTTCTGGTCTATCTGGAAGCAATTTTTTTATAATGCTACTCTTCCTAGGGTTTATGTTTGCTTTTAATAAAACTTGGTATATAGTCAGATCGCATGAAGATACATATAGATACATGTACACAGTTGTATTTGTAGGTTTTTGATTATAATTCAATGTGTTGCCTTGTTATGAATAGCTTAGACAGTCTGTTAAATTATTTTTTGATGATATTTTCCTATAGTTTTGATCTAACATCTCAGGAATGCTTAAAAATGTACATCTTTTGCAGTGTTTATTTTACTGAAACACAACGTGGTACAAGTGTTGACTACATTCATAATTCTGCTGATTCATATAGTTTGAGCTCGATAAAAGCTACTGCAGTTGTTATTAAATATAGAATAATCACTTAAAAGTGCTTCAAAATGCTACTCAGGTCATGCAGTTTTTATCAGAACGCTTTGAGTAAGTGTTGATTAAATTATACTCTTAAGAAGTTTTAATTTCAGGGAACCATTTTGCCTTGTGTAATTATTAAAAATAGAATTGCTGAAATCATCCAAAATGCCAGTCCTTTTTTCCCTTTTGTCTGATTTTATTTTGTATTAATTTTCATAATTTCAAATTACTGCCTTTTGTTCATGTTTGTATTTCATTTAAATGAAATATGAGTTCAAGTAGTTATGACATCAAATTCATCATTTACATTTTGAATGTATGTATCCTAGGTTATTTCCTATGGTTGAATGCTACGTTTGAACTAGTTTCTGATTTGAATCAAATATTTATAGATGTAGACTTCTTCTAGAAGAACTTCTTCTAGACATGTTATTGAACTCTTTGCTTTTGACTTTTAATTTCATTGAACAGTTTTGCCACTAAATGTATAGAATTAATTTTTATAATTAGTCTGACATTAAGTCTGGTTTGTATTACATTTTATGATGTTTATTTGTTATTCCTCTGATATTAATCTCTGTGTTTTTGTAGAGGATGCTGATGACCTGCTAAATGAAGGTGTGACAAAAATTCCTAAATCTGGCTATAAGCTCAGTCGAGTAAGTCATGTTTACAACATTCTAGGATATCATATTTTTTAGATTTAACATCAGATTAATTTTTTGACTGAATTAAATAATCATTAATTTAATCTCACATAGTGAGATATGTAATAAAAAAATAAAACCAATTATGTAAAATAGGATTTATTCCATACTTATTAATGGTATTGGTCTTGTGTTGAATTTAGATTTTACGACAAAGACAAGAAGATGCAAACATCAAGCTTAATATCAAGTAAGTAAAAAGATGTTGGATATTTAATTTTTGATATAATTCTGAAATTGCCAACTTAATTAATTTATTGATTAAATCAAAATCAGAGATGATTTTTATAAGGTCTGATTGTTTATAAAAATGAAATATATGTTGAATTAATTTGTACAATATATAAAAAATAGAATGAATTTAATGTCAAACTTTGTTAAATGGCAGTTGAATTGTTACATTCTGCTTTGACTCAATAAAGGATTGCTGATGTGTATCAGGGTGAGATTTTTCACAGTTTTCTTAAGTTGTGCACTTTTTGTTTTCAACTAGCAAAGTTCGACCTCCTTTAACCAGCTCATATAACCCGTCATGCCAGAATCAACAGTCTTGGAAAGTTTTTTTCTGCTATTAACACAAAGTTTATAAACTTTACTAGCATGAACTCTTTGTCTTCATCTTTGAAATTAAAATTCTATTTTTGATATGATAATATTGAAGTTCACCATTGGGACCTGGATAGCTTGAATGAAAATGAAGGGTGTTTGGGGAGAAATAGAAGAGATAGACAAGGTTTATAAATGTTATTAAAAATTTTCGAAACTCATAGATAAGACTGAGACAGGGATATAAAATTAATACTGTCCCTTTCATGTGTAGGCATTTGCAGATTCATCATAAGACTAAGGGGAGGGGGCTATTCACAATAAACAATGCATGTTGCTGCTCATAGGGGAAAAAATTAAAAATTCCAAAAATAATCAAGAATGAGCTCATTTTGATCCAGTATACACACTGATAACTTTGAGTCCTTGTAACCATAGCAATCCACAGTAGGTTTACTTTCTCTTTGACTTTTTGACAGTAGGTCTACTTTCTCTTTGACTGTTTCCACTGTTGTTTCAGTCTTTATGCGGGTGAACAGCCAGCAGAAAGCTACATAGGTTTGTATGGCACTTTTCTGCACTAACCTGTTAGAGGTTTTCAACTTTTTAAGTGTTATTTGATGTTATGCATGTATGTACCATGAATGATCACTAGAAAATTCTACATGCTGGGTGATTTGAATTTAGCTTATTCATGTTTTGATGGTATTCATGAATTAGCACACTAATCATTGTGCCAAAATTCCAATTCTGGTATTAATGAGTATATGCACTGATGATATTTCCTTGTAAATTATCTATATTGTTTTTTCCCTATAATGCCAAAACAGATTTTTGATCATATTAATAATTTGGAAAATAACTTTTTATCAACTGAATACAAAATAACTTTTTATCAACTGAATACGTAATGTTTGTGGCAAAACCTTTGATGAATGTTGACCTCGACCCTTTTTTTGTCGGTCCTTGTAGGTCAAGGTCATTACTACAGGTTAAGGCTTAGGCCGCATCTACAATTTCAAAAAGCAAGATGTTATTGGATTTTTTCATATAACCTTTGTGGACATTCATCCATAAGTACTTCAAGTCAAATGTTGGAAGTTCATAGTTAGTAAATTGAAGTGTAATACATGCACTTGTATCTTGAATACTGCCTGGTATTTAAGGTATGCTTCATAGATTTATTCTCTAAGTGAATTTTAGGAATTCCCATAGTAATGAATTTAAAAATAGTTAGTAATATTTCAAATTGCAGACGCTTTTCATTCATATTCATAATAAAGATTAAAGATATATTATTTTAATTGATAAAGCTTGAAAATGAGAGTAACATATTTATGTGTGTTGTTCTGAATTTGTTTACAGGGGAGGGACTATACAAATCCACAAAGGTAGATGATCTGTTTGACTCTGATGAGGAAAGGCCTGCTACTGGTAAGTTATCATAATACTGGTAAGTTATCATAATAATAATTAACCTAGCTAACACATCTGTATGAAAAATATAGACAGAATATTAATAAAAAAAACTAGGGATGGCAGTTTGTAACCAGTTAACCGATTACTCGGTCGGAACGATGATAATCGGTTAGAAAATCTGTAATCGGTTAGTTGAAAAAATAAAATATATGTAAATGGGAAAGCATTTTTAGCTCACCTGAACCGAAGGCTCAAGTGAGCTTTTCTGATCAAAATTTGTCCATTGTCTGTCGTCGTCGTTGGCGTTGTCATTGGTGTTGTTGTTGGCGTTATCGTAAACTTTTCACATTTTCATCTTCTTCTCCAGAACTACTGAGCCAATTTCAATCAAACTTGGCACAAAGTATCCTTGGGTGAAGGGGATTCAAGTTTGTTCAAATGAAGGGCCACGCCCTTCTCCAAGGGGAGATAATTACGAAGTAACAAAAAATTAATGGCATTATTGAAAGATCTCCTCCTCAAGAACCAATGGGCCAGGAAAGATGAAACTCATGTGGAATTATTGTCAGGTAGTGTAGATTCAAGTTTGTTCAAATCATATCCCCCGGTGATAGGGTGGGGCCACAATGAACGATCAAAGTTTTACATAGGAATATATTTTCCTAAATTTTTGAAAAATTTTCAAAAATCTTCTTCTCAAGAACAGCAAAGCTATGATTGGTCATATTTATATGGAAGCATCCTCAGGTGGTGTAGATTCAAGTTTGTTCAAATTATGATCCCCAGGGGTAGGGTGGGGCCACAATGAACGATCAAAGTATAACATAGGTGTGTATATAGGAAAAATCTACAAAAATCTTTTTCTCAAGAACAGCATAGCAATGATTGGAAATATTTATGTGGAAGCATCCTCAGGTGGTTAGGGTTCAAGTTTGTTCAAATCATTACCCCCGGGGGTAGGGTGGGGCCACAATGGACGATCAAAGTTTTACATAGGAAAATATAGGAAAAATCTTCAAATATTTTCTTCTCAAGAAAAGCAAAACTATGATTGGTCATATTTACATGGAAGCATCCTTAGGTGGTGTAGATTCAAGTTTCTTTAAATCATGACCCCCAGGGGTAGGGTGGGGCCACAATTTATGATCAAAGTTATACATAGGTGTATATAGGAAAAATCTTTAAAAAATCTTCTGAAGAAGAAGAGCAAAGCTATGATTTCAAACTTGTAGAGAAAATGTTCATAGTTAGTCAAAAAATTATGTAAGCATCCTTAGTAAGTGTAGATTTAATTTTGTTCAAATCATTACCCCCCACTCCCTTTTGAGTAGGTTGGGACCACTTATGCATTTAAGCTTTCCAATACTAAACTGATTTCTTCTTTTTTCCTAGCCACAGTGCTCAGGTGAGCAATGTGGCCTCTGGGCCTCTTGTTTAAAATTCATTTTTAAAAAAGAAATCTCTGCATAAATGTTGATAATTTACCGTTTTCACATATCTATTTAAGTAATTATGTCTCTCCGGATTGAAATTGTGGGGTAATTGATCAGTTTGTGACGTGTTAATTACTGTATAAACACTAAAGTTGTTACCCCAACTATCCTGTAATTCTTTAATGATATTAATTATAAATCACCGTCGAGCTCTGTGAATTGGTATGGGTATCTTATAATTGCAGTTTACTATCATATTATTTCATTAAACAAACATTGTAAATTAAGTGATACAGTTAAGACTTAGTTTTGATTATGGTGACAATGAAGAATGAACTTGTGTGACATCTGCTCGGGAAAATTATCAATGATTTCTCAGGCATGTTTTGTGGTTTTCAGAATTTTTGGAATGAAATATATTTGCTTGTTATTTCTGATGAAGAATCAAGACATATAGAATGTTTTAAAATTCTAAGTAATGTCTCTTTAGTCCTTTTGTGCATATGAGTAAAGCTACTTGAAAAAAAAATGACAAGAAAATGTGTAGTTTGATATGATTAACCAGTTAATCGGTCGAAACGTCTGAGGTTAACTGATTAGCAATTCTGTATTCGATTGCCATCCCTAAAAAATACATTTAAAGAAAGGAAATTACTTCTTGTTTATAAATATGTTTTTTTAGACCTTAAAAAACTATATAAACACAAGGACATTGAGTTTTTAACCCACTAATGCCCGGAGTGAATATGATTAGAAAATACTTATTTTCAGGCTAAGTTATGTGTATTTCATTTTCTTACATCTTTTGTTCTTTTCCTATGTTTCCAGAGAGAGGTCTGATGGGAACGAGATAAATACATCAAAAATACCTATATATTCCTAAATAATGATTATGTTACAATCATTTTCCCCCTACCTTAGTCATTACAACACAGATTTCTTTATTACTGATGGAGAAACTCTCCTCTTTCTTTTCTAGGCATGTCTGGATTCAGGTCCTCCCCAGGAGACAGCGATGAAGAGTTTGAAAGTGTGTCTCAAGTCACTGGTCCTGTATGTATCTCATTAAATTTCCCATTGTAATTGACTTTTCATAGATTTTTTATATGGCCCTCTCAACTTTATAATTATATCTCCTTTGGTAACCATAGTAACCTTGTTTAAATTTAACATTCAGTGCCTTGTACATGTTAGTCAGGATTTCAAACTTTTCTTGACTAACTTGACCTTGTTCTTAAGATTCTTATGACCTTGAAACAGGATTCTGCTACACCTTCTGGTCTAATGCAGACTTTGTATTTAAAATTTTAGTTATTCTGCATTGATGATTTTAATGTAAGGGTATGGACTCTCACAATAAATTCAAACCTATGGTGACATGATTTGCAACATATTTTCAGATTACAGGCAATTTTTCTGTCCAGTCTTGAGCCTCACTTTTCAGTGAGATGAGTTAGAATTACTGCTAATGAGCTCATGCATTTTTAGTTTCTAAGTTGAAGATACAAAGAGCTAATGCTATGGCCTTATGTGTGGTATGTTTCATCTTTTTGGGATGATGGCCATAACTCAAGAACTTTTTGGCCAATTTTTAGCTCTACTGGTCAGAGACCAGAAGAGCTTATGCGATAGTAAGGTGTCCGTCGTCCGTCCGTCTGTCTGTCTGTCTGTCTGTCTGTCCGTCTGTCTGTAAACAATTTTTCAAAATGCTACTCCTCCTACAGTTTTGGTCCGATTTCAATATAACTCAGCACACAAGTAGACTACACTAAGATACATAATTTAGTGCATCGGTTTTTGATTTCGATGGACGGTGTTGCCATGGTTACTAAAACTAGAAATTTCTGTGAAATTCCTTTAAAACGCTACTCCTCCTACAGTTTTGGTCCGATTTCAATATAACTTGGCACACAAGTAGACTACACTAAGATACATAATTTAGTGCATCGGTTTTTGATTTCGATGGACGGTGTTGCCATGGTTACTAAAAATAGAAATTTCTGTGATATTCCTTTAAAACGCTACTCCTCCTACAGTTTTGGTCTGATTTCAATATAACTCGGCACACAAGTGGACTACACTAAGATACATAATTTAGTGCATCGGTTTTTGATTTCGATGGACGGTGTTGCCATGGTTACTAAAACTAGAAATTTCTGTGAAATTCCTTTAAAACGCTACTCCTCCTACAGTTTTGGTCCAATTTCAATATAACTTGGCACACAAGTAGACTACACTAAGATACATAATTTAGTGCATCGGTTTTTGATTTCGATGGACGGTGTTGCCATGGTTACTAAAAATAGTAATTTCTGTGAAATTCCTTTAAAATGCTACTCCTCCTACAGTTTTGGTCCGATTTCAATATAACTCGGCACACAAGTAGACTACACTAAGATACATAATTTAGTGCATCGGTTTTTGATTTCGATGGACGGTGTTGCCATGGTTACTAAAACTAGAAATTTCTGTGAAATTCCTTTAAAACGCTACTCCTCCTACAGTTTTGGTCCAATTTCAATATAACTTGGCACACAAGTAGACTACACTAAGATACATAATTTAGTGCATCGGTTTTTGATTTTGATGGACGGTGTTGCCATGGTTACTAAAACTAGAAATTTCTGTGAAATTCCTTTAAAACGCTACTCCTCCTACAGTTTTGGTCCAATTTCAATATAACTCGGCACACAAGTAGACTACACTAAGATACATAATTTAGTGCATCGGTTTTTGATTTCGATGGACGGTGTTGCCATGGTTACTAAAACTAGAAATTTCTGTGAAATTCCTTTAAAACGCTACTCCTCCTACAGTTTTGGTCCAATTTCAATATAACTTGGCACACAAGTAGACTACACTAAGATACATAATTTAGTGCATCGGTTTTTGATTTCGATGGACGGTGTTGCCATGGTTACTAAAAATAGTAATTTCTGTGAAATTCCTTTAAAACGCTACTCCTCCTACAGTTTTGGTCCAATTTCAATATAACTTGGCACACAAGTAGACTACACTAAGATACATAATTTAGTGCATCGGTTTTTGATTTCGATGGACGGTGTTGCCATGGTTACTAAAAATAGAAATTTCTGTGAAATTCCTTTAAAACGCTACTCCTCCTACAGTTTTGGTCCGATTTCAATATAACTTGGCACACAAGTAGACTACACTAAGATACATAATTTATTGCATCGGTTTTTTTATTCAATTGACGGTGTTGCCATGGTTACTAAAAATAGAAATTTCTGTGAAATTCCTTTAAAACACTACTCCTGCTACAGTTTTAGTCTGCTTCTAATATAATTAGGCATACAAGTAGACTATACTAAGATACATAATTTATTGCATTGGTTTTTGAATTCAATGAACAGTGTTGCCATGGTTACTTAAAATAGAAATTTCTTTGAAATTCCTTTAAAACGTTACTCCTCCTACAATTTTGGTCTGATTTCAATCTAATTTGGCACACAGTTAGAATACACTACGATACATAATATGTATTTCTGTTTTTTTTTATTTGGGTGAATGGTGTTGTCATGGTTACTAAAAATAGAAATTTTAGTGAAATACTTTCAAAACGCTACTACTCCTAGTTTTCATTTGATTTCAATATAACTTGTCACAAAAGTAGACTACATTAAGATACATAATTCTATTTATTGTTGCATGTTGCAATGTTTCAAATCCAAGTGCTACTTTTCTTTTGTTATACAAACAGACCAGTAGAGCTACAGTCTCATCAGAGACTTCTGGTTATCAAATTTGTAACAGAACAGAATATCCTTGGCCCAAGGGCTCTTGTTTATACTGAAAATAGGGATGCAACCCTTAAACAAGGGGAGATAAGACAGTAGGGAAATAAAAGTAGTGGTTACTAAAAAATCTTCGTCTCAAGAACCACCGACCACTGGGCAAATTATCACTGTACTCTAACTACTACTTTGTTGTAGATGAAAAATTATTCAAAGCATTACCTTAGGACAAAGGGCCTGATCTCAAAGTCACTTCAACATTTACCTTAAATGATATTTGTTAAAACTTTGATATTTTACCCATTTTAGGGACTAGGATTATCAAATCTTGTCAGTTGATGCATCTCAGGACATTGGAATATGTTGACAAAAAAATTAGGTCATAGTGATCCACTATTTGAATTTTGCATTTTTAAATTGTTTTAGATGCATACATTGGACACAGTGAAGCCTAGGATGATCAAACTTTGTCGATTGAACGGGGTCTCAGGGTCTGACAATTAAAAAGTAGGTCACAGTGACCTACTTTCTGAATTTTATGGCTTTTTCATTTTCAAAGTATTTTAGCTAAATATTTAGAATTTCTTGCAATTTTATAGTCAATAAGGACATAATTTGTAGATGTGTATTTTTACAGGAAATTCTTACTATTTTTTTTCGCTTGCCGATATGCCCCTTTAAATATTAGTATCCAAAAGTAAATATACTGCTGCAACAGTTTGTCAGTGCAGCTTCTCTTAAATCTCTGAACAGAATTTCATGAAATGTTGAAGTTAATGAGGACTTACTGTGTAGATGTGCAGGAAATTCTGATTCAATTTTTTTTCTTGGAGATATGCCTCTTTTGAATTTTGTCCAAACTTAAATATACTACTGCAACAGTTTGACAGTGCAACTCCTCTGAAACCACTCAAAAGAATTGTAGTACAATGTAATTAACAACTTATTGTGTAGATGTGCATATTCACAGGGAAAAAAAATCAATTTTATTTTCTTGGAGTTATGTCCCTTTTGAACTTAGATTGTTGATTGTATTTTGTTTAACGTCCCTCTCGAGAATTTTTCACTCATATGGAGACACCACCACTTGCCGGTGGAGAGCTGCAAATTTTGTCCTATACTCGGCACTTACGGCCATTGAGCAGTGAGGGATCTTTTTCGTGCCAGCACCTACTGCGACACGGGACCTCGGTTTATACGGTCTCATCCGAAGGACCGGTCTCCACGTCCCACAGTGGGATTCGAACTCGCGACGTCAGGATCAACTCCTTACTTCGCGACTCTGGAGCAGACGCTCTAACCACTGCGCCACATGGGTGACTTTTGAACTTAGAAGTTTGGCCAAAATTGAATTTTGGTGCAACTTGTGTAAAACAGTTTAGCAGGTGCATCATAATTTTAAATGATGAAGAGAAGCTGTTCTCTTGTTTGGAAATGCTTTGTTCAGTGCATTTTGGATGTTACAAACAGATCTTATTCTGAAGTGACAAACACATTTGTAAAAGGGAAATGGGGAGGGTAATTAATATTGTTTTTAATGCAGAGCATTGCCATTCCTTATGTGTAGCATTGTCAAGCATTGGATGCAGGAGCCCCGGGTATGTGAGCTTGCTGACTTTCTTTCATTATTCACTGTCAAATCTTTATATTTTTAATACTGAGAGGCCCAGGATGATCAAACCTTGTCAGATGAAGCATCTTATGACCTGAGGTTATATTGACCCAAAAGTAGGTCACAGTGACCTACTTTTTGAATTTTGCATTTATTCATGTTCAAATTGTTTTAGATGCATATCTTGGAAACTTGTAAGCCTAGGATCATCAAAACATGTCAGTTGATGCATCTTGAGGCCTCAAAGTGTGTCAAACAAAAAGTAGGTCACAGTGACCTACTTTCTATATTTTACGCTATTTATTTTTACATACTAAGAGGTTTAGAATCATCAAACCTTGTCAGTTGATGCATCTTGGTGCATTAGAGTGCGAAGATTTGCCAAATTAGAAAGTGCTGTTGCATATTTATCAGAAGAGTGATTCTGGGCCCTTGAGCTGCTTGTCCAAATTTGCTCCATGACGCATAGGACATAAAGTTCACAAGTGTGTAGAAGGCATGTTCCTAATGGGCATGGTGTATCTGCAATATGTCCAAGAATTAAGATTTCTTAAAAAGTGGAATGCACCTAGTACAACATTTTTAGCTCTACTGGTCAGAGACCAGAAGAGCTTTTGTGATAGTAAGGTGTCCGTCGTCCATCTGTCTGTCTGTCTGTCCATCTGTAAACAAATTTTCAAAACGATACTCCTCTTACAGTTTTGGTCTGATTTCAGTATAACTTGGCACACAAGTAGACTATACTAAGATACCTAATTCTGTTCATCAGTTTTTGATTTCAATGAACGGTGTTGCCATGGTTACTAAAAATAGAAATTTCTAAGAAAAACTTTCAAAACACTTCTCCTATTACAGTTTTGATCTGATTTCAGTATAACTTGGCACACAAGTAGACTTTACTAAGATACATAATTCTGTATATCAGTTTTTCTGATCACATTTTGTCTGTCGTCCGTCTGTCTGTCCATCCATCTGTCCGTCTGTCTGTAAACTTTTCACATTTTTGACTTCTTCTCCAGAACCACTGGGCCAATTTCAACCAAACTTGCCACAAAGCATCCTTGGGTAAAGGGGATTCAAGTTTGTTCAAATGAAGGGCCAAGCCCTCTTTCAAGGGGAGATAATTAAGAATTAGTGAAAATTTGGTGGTATCTTTTAAAAATCTTCTTCTCAAGAACCACTGGGCTGTAAAAGTTGAAACTTTAGTGAGACCTTCATTACATAGTGTAGATTCAAGTTTGTTCAAATCATGACCCCCTGGGGTAGGTTGGGGCCACAATGGGGGATCAAAGTTTTACATAGGAATATATAGGAACAAATTTTTAAAAATCTTCTCCTCAAGAACAATTAAGCCACGATTAGTCATATTAATATGGAATCATCCTCAGGTAGTGTAGATTCAAGTTTGTTTCAAATCATGACCACCAGGGGTAGGGTGGGGCCACAATGGGTGATCAAAGTTTTACTTAGGAATATACAGGAAAAAAACTTGAAAAATCTTCTTCTCAAGAACAGCAAAGCCTTGTTAAGTCATATTGATATGGAAGCATTCTCAGATAGTGTAGATTTAACTTTGTTCAAATCATGACCCCCAGGGTTAAATGTAGGGTGGGGCCACAATGGGTAAATCAAAGTTTTACATAGGAATATACAGGAAAAAAACTTGAAAAATCTTCTTCTCAAGAACAGCAAAGCCATGTTTTGTCATATTGATATGGAAGCATCCTCAGGTAGTGTAGATTCAAGTTTGTTCAAATCATGACCCCTGGGGGTAGGGTGGGGTCACAATGGGGGATCATAGTTTTACATAGGAATATATGGGGAAAAAAACTTGAAAAATCTTCTTCTCAAGAACAGCAAAGCCATGTTTTGTCATATTGATATGGAAGCATTGTCAGGTAGTGTAGATTCAAATCATAACCCCCAGGGGTAGGATGGGGCCACAATCTGGGATCAAATTTTTACATAGGAATATATAGGAAAAAATCTTTTCAACAATAGATAAAGCCATGTTTACTCATATTGATATGGAAACATCCTCAGGTAGTGTAGATTCAAGTTTGTTCAAATGATGGGGGGGGGGGGGGGAGGGAGGGTCCACAATGGGGGATCAAATTTTTAACAAGGGAATATATAGGAAAAAAATCTTTAAAAATCTTCTGCCCAAGAACAGCAAAGACATTTGTTATATTGATATGGAAGCATCCTCAGGTAGTTCAAAATCCAGTCCCCCCTTTAAACTTTTCAATACTGAAGTGTTTTGTGCTTTTTCCTTGCTAATGTGCTCAGGTGAGCGATGTGGCCCATGGGTCTCTTGTGGATTTCAATGAACGGTGTTGCCATGGTAACTAAAAATAGAAATTTCTGTGAAAAACTTTCAAAACGCTACTCCTATTACAGTTTTGATCTGATTTCAATATAACTTGGCACACAAGTAGACATAATAAGATACATAATTCTGTTTATCAGTTTTTGATTCCAGTGAACGGTGTTGCCATGGTAACTAAAAATAGAAATTTCTGTGAAAAACTTTCAAAACGCTACTCCTATTACAGTTTTGATCTGATTTCAATATAACTTGGCACACAAGTAGACATAATAAGATACATAATTCTGTTTATCAGTTTTTGATTCCAATGAACGGTGTTGCCATGGTTACTAAAAATAGAAATTTCTGTGAAATACTATCAAAATGTTACTCCTCCTACAGTTTTGGTCCGATTTCAGTATAACTTGGCACACAAGTAAACTACACTAAGATACATAATTATCTTTACCAGTTTTGGATTTCAATGAACAATGTTGCCATGGTACTAAAAATAGAAATTTTCTTGAAATACTTTCAAAACACTACTCCTCCTACACTATTTGTCTGATTTCAATGTAACTTGGCACACAAATAGACTGCACTAAGATACATAATTCTTTTTATTGGTTTTTGATTCTGATGGACAGTGTTGCCATGGCTACTAAAAATAGAAATTTCCTTGAAATACTTTCAAAATGCTACTCCTCCTACAGTTTTGGTCCGATTTCAGTATAGCTTGGCACACAAGTAAATGATACTAAGATATATAATTCTTTTTACCAGTTTTGGATTTTGGTGAACAGTGTTGCCATGGTTACTAAAAATAGAAATTTCCTTAAAATACTTTAAAACGCTACTCCTCCTACACCTTTTGTCTGATTTCATTATAACTTGGCATACAAGTAGACTACACTGAGATACATAATTGTCATTATTGTATTTTGATTCTGTTGAATGATGTTGCCATGGTTACTTAAATTGAAATTTCTGTAAAATTGTTTTAAAAGACTACTCCTCCTTCAGTTTTAGTCTGATTGCAATAAATCTCATCACAAGAAGAAACTACACCAAGGATCATTATTCTATTTATTGCTGTTGCAAAGTTTCAAGTCCAAGTGCTACTTTTATCCTCCTTTATAAGTACAACCAGTAGAGCTACAGTCTTGTCAGAGACTTCTGTTTTAAAAATGCATTAAATTTTGTCAAAAGGTTTAACAATGTCCATAAGTTATCTCTGTTTAAGTATACAAATGATTTTAACAACAAAAATGTGCACAATATTTTTAAGCCTTTTGATTTTTTTTCCAGAGAAGACCAGTGTGGAATGTTGGAGAAGATTCTGATGGTGAGATTATTATCTTACAGAACTCAGATATTTATGAAATGAACTTAACAATTTATTCACAGCAATATTCTTTATAGAAACCTAGTGTATGATTGAGAACAAAATTGTACTTTTTATTTAAACGCTGATGTATGTACTTTATCTTTTTTCAATTATGGTTTTTGTTTTCTTTTATTTACTGTATTTGCTGACAAAATTTAATAAATATCTCTTTTGTCAAGTGTTAATAATCTGTCTGAAAAAAATTTCTGTCAGGTGATACGTTTTACCCCCGCAATTCCAAGACATCCCCAGAAGTGTCCAGCTACAGGAAACAGAATGTATCAATATCAGAAAGGTATTCATCTTATGCTTTAAATATTGTAGTGATATTATTGCTTTTTTGTATTAGTTTGAAATTTACAGTGGTATTTGTCATGTATTCAATATAAAACTTTATTAAAACCAGGTGTTGATAATCAATACCATCTTCCATTTTGTCTGCAAAAGTCATTACCTAAGCTTAAAACTTGGAATTTTACTAGGAGCTTAAACCAGACAACCCCAGCGAGATTTGAACCTTCACCTCTACAGTCATTGGACAGTGCCCGTAAAGATGTCTCAAGTAAAACATGGACTCCTGCCTCCCAAACCATGCAGTCTGTGGTACGTAACCTACACAATAATAAATTATAATTAGTAGATGGACATCTCACAAAATCATATTGGCTTGATACAAGGTTAAGTAAAAAAAAAGGACTTGGTTTAATATATACTAGGCACCAAACTTACTTTTTTAATAATAAACTTGGGTATAGCTGCAGAATTGTAGCCCTCTGGGACAAAGAATTTGGACAGACATACAAGAGAGGTATAGGTCCAACCATTGTGAAAACTTCTGATTTACGTTGCTGGTTTTTTTATGCAACCATAGGGTATTATTACTTGCAATATATGCATTCCCTCTACCTAAAGCATTGTATGCATTAATAAACCATATATTTTACTTTTACTCTTGTTACTTTATTTACCTTTTAATGGTTTGAAATGGCTCTCTTTGGCCTTGAAATGTTGAGGTGAAGGTTTCCAAAATTTTGCATTCTGATTTCATGTTAGGGTCATAATACAATACACCTGCAGAAGAATATACAGTCAAACCTTGTTATCTCAAACTTGATGGGACCAAGAAAAAACTTCGAGATATCCAAGGATTCAAGATATCTAGGGTAAAATAAAGAATAAGTGGTTGGAACTTCCAAATCACTTCGACATATCCATGGTATTTGAGATACCGAAGTTCAACTGTATACACATCAAGAAAATTTATCAACTGTCATTTTAACATTATTCTAATTTTTTAAATATATTTTATGTACATCATTATTCTAGATATTGATGAATTTGACCAATAAAGTAATTTTAAATTTTTTCGGCATGGGTTTCTTCAGCATGCATTTTTTTTTTTTAGCTGTGTTATGTCTCTCCAAATTTTCTGTCCTAGAAAGCTACAGTTCAGCAACTACTTACAGTACAAATACAAGACCTGATTGCTTTGACTGTCAGATGTGTGTTCCATTTTGATACCTATAGTTAATATGATGGTCAGATTTTAATTTTAACATCTTTCAGTGATTTGAATGTCAGATTTGTATTATATTTTGACATCTATCAGTAATTTATCAGATTTGTATAATTTTTTAACGTCCTTCAGGATTTGACTGTCAGATTTGTACATTTTGACATCTTTTAGTGATTTGACTAGTAGATGTCTTTGATATTTTGATATCTTTCAGTGATTTTTATGTCCAAGTTGTATACTTTGACATCCTTTAGTGATTTGACTGTCAGATTTATATATTTTGACATCTTTCAGTGATTTGATTTGAGTTGTGTTTGAGTGGTGAGAGTTATATGTTTTTTGACATCTTTCAGGACTCTGTCAGATCCACTAGTGGGGGTTGGCAAATCCCACGATACGACTCAGAAACGGAATTTTCTGAGTTTGGAGGTATGACAAAAAATTAACTTGAAATATAAGCTTTTAGGTCTGTAATTAGGTTTATGAATGGGTTTGATTGAATTTTTTTTAAATAACTATATTTTAAGCTTGTCAACAAAATATGTTACATATGTAGTGTTTGTTTTGTTTGTTTAGACCAGTCCGCCAGAAATCGTCCACCAAGAGCATATTGATCATCAGGACACATGACACTGATATACGTGTATTTTAGGAATGTGTAGAATTGAATTTCATAGAAGTGTTAATTATTACTCATCTGTGATATTTTTATGTAATACATTGTACTTTATTTATAGTTTATTTGTACTTGTCATACTATATAGACATTTATTAAAATACCTTTTGAAGAATAAGAGCAACCAGTATGTGTTTCAATATCAATTTATATCATTATATCAATTAATATAATAAAGTTATTTTTCTTGGTTCATATATTTTGGAACCGTATTTTTCTCTGCTCTAGCAACAAAAACAAAACAAAACAAAACAAAGCAAAAAAAATGAATGCATATAGATACATGTAAATATGCCAAATTATGAATTATATATCTTTATGGAAGAGTATGTACACTATCCAAAGGAATAATGCTAATGTGGTGCAAAATTTTATACTATACACTGTATACATGTATGTTATTATGTAATTACATGTGTACATAGTTTTAAAGAGAGCTTGTCTGCAAACATATTCAACATCAAAATAAGTCTTCAAGGAGCGTGGAATTGGCCATTAGTGTCGTTAGATAGCCATCATGTATGAGTAAGATTATGAACTTCACGGTACTCTGGGATATAGTCCTGGATATCGGTCCTCGAAGTTAACGTCACGTGACGGGACTCGTCCACATACTTCTACACAGGATTTACAGCAATTCCAGCCCACTACTCTATTGGTAGCAGCTGTTGGGGTTTTACTGCAGAACATTTCACATTTGTCCAATGTGATTATTCCCTGGCAATGGTTGTCCATGGCAGCTGTGATAACATGGGCATAATTACCCCATGGACAATCTGAAAATAATAAAACTAGTGCAAATCTTAATTCAAAATCCCAAATTCTATGGTATCCTTTGACTTCGAATAGGTAAATTAGACTGAGTGCAAAATGTAATAATGACGTATAATGTAAATTGTAGTGTGGACTGATTTTTTATTTGTCCAAAGTATCTTCTATTCAAATAGTCTTTTTAGGGTTCGATTGCTGGCTTAATTTTCAACCTACTGTCAAACAAGGCAAAGAAAGAAGTTGTACAAGGTGAGGACAACCCCCTGCTCTGAGACAATACATTTCTAAATTTAAAAGTTCACAGAAAAATTTATTTTTTTAGAAAATTTTCTCTAAAATTATGTTGTCATTAATGTGAATTGATTCATTTATTCTATTGAATGACTTATTGAATGCTAATCGTTTTTTTAAAGTTGACATTTAAGCATATTTAGTGGAAAATAGGTTTGTTAGAACCATAAAAAATGATTTTTTTAAATTGAATTGATCGAGTCTTCTTTCTGCATTAATGTTTAAATGACGGAAAAGTAATAAAATGTAAACTTCATTTATGTTTTAAAAAATTAAGTCGGAACCCATTCTATATGAAAATCCAATATTTCTGAAAAAATAAATGTTTCAACAAATTCGTTTATTTTAAGAACACTGACATCAATGACAATAAGACTTCGTAGCATTATAAGTGGCTAATTAACATGTTCAGTCTTACACCTAACCATTAGCTTTGGTGAGTGAATTTTTCACATAACTGAAAATAAATTATCAATAAGTTATTCAACAAAATAAATGTGTAAAACATTAATTTACAATACATTTTTTTAAACAAGGGGCCCAAGGGCCTTAATGGTCACCTGAGTATAATACAACACTCTAGTAAAGAATCAATCAAAATAAACTGATATATGAAGCTATAATGCCCAAAAGTAAGAGAAATAGGATGATCAGGGATCAACAAAATAATTAGTCTAGCACTTAATAAGAAATCTTTGAGCAGATCTATTTATTTGCCTGTGCTTGCCCAAATTTGTCACTATCGCAGTGTTACATATCGTAAAAATTCATGTATAACTCTCTTATTCAACTGATCTTTCAATTACATTATTTACAGTAATTAATTATCATAGGCGAATAGAAAAGATTAATTGATTGATTGTATTTTGCTTTACGTTCCGTTTGAGAATTTTTCACTCATATAGAGATGTCATCATATACCAGTGAAGGGCTTCAAATTTAGACCTTTACTCGGCACTCAGGGCCATTGAGCAGTGAGGGATCTTTATCGTGCCAACGCCTGCTGTGACACGGGGCCTCGGTTTTCAAGGTCTCATTCGAAGGACCCGCAACTTTCACTTCAAAGTGCCGAATTCTTGGCGAAGAAACAGTTACTACCTATTTTTTATCAACTTGGGTCAGTCGCGGCCGTGATTCGAACACACAACTTTCCGATCATGGAGCGAGTGACCTACTGAATAGAAAAGAGGAATAAAAGTTCTCAGTATAATATAAATTAATAGAGTCCTGTCCAGCACAGAAACACCTGACCAAGTGGTCCAGAATTTCAAAAACCTGGTAAAAATACGCTTGATTAATAAAATTTTTACTGTTTGCTCCTGGATGCCCAGGGGCAGAGAAGAAGAAATAATGCATTTTCACAATACAATTGTAGAATTCAACACAGCCCCACCCTAACACTAGAACCCATGACCAAGGAGTCAGGAAAATCAAAATTTTGTAAGAGGCACACTTGTTCATCATAATTATGTACTTAGTTGAATATTTTCAAAGAATCAATGCATTTTCACTTTAAAATCAACTGAGTTCCACATTAATACCAAACCCCTGACCCTGGGGCATTAATTTCACAATTTTGGAAGAGGCACCTTTGCTGATCATAATAATTCATTCAGTTTGTTTGCTTGGTACTCAGGAGCAGAGAGGAAGGTTTTTAAAGAAATAATGTATTTTCACCATATAATCAATTTAGCCCTACCTTAGCATCAGGGCTCCTGACCCGGGGGCCAAGATATTCAAAATATTGGAAAAGGCACCCTTGCTCATCATAACCATGTTCTAAGTATGTTTGCTAAATACTTAGGGGCAGAGCAGAAGATTTTCAAAGAAACAAAGCAATTTCACCATTTATTCAACAGAATCCTGCACTAACACCAAAACCCTGAGCCCAGGAGCTATGTATATCACACTTTTGGATTTTCATCATATCCATACACTTAGTATCTGCTAAATACCAAGGAGCAGAGAAGAAGATTTTCAAAGAATTAATAATAATGTATAATCCATAGAACCCAACCAAGGGGCCATGAAATTAACAAATTTTGGAAGAGGCACCCACTGATAATTAAACAAATGCATTTAGTTTGTTTTCTTAATACCCAGGAGCAGAGAAGACGATTTTCAAAGAACTATGCATTTTCAATATACAAGTGTATTATCCATAGAACCCCACCCTAACACCAGAATCCCTGAACCAGGGGCCATGAAATTCACAATTTTGGAAGAGGTACCTTTGCTCATTATAACTTTACACATAGTTTGTTTGCTTAATATCCAAGGGCAGAGGATTTTAAAAGCAAAAATGCACTTTCACTATCTGATCTATAGAGCCCCACCCTAACTCCAGAACCCCTGACCCTGGGGTCATGAATTTCACAATTTTGGTAGAGGGCTTATTGCTTATTACAATCATGCCAACAGTTTGACTGATTGATGTCCAGGAGTAAAGATTTTTAAAGATAGCACTTATTTTTATGGGTTTTAGCCCCACCCCTCAGGTCCCAGGGGAAGGGGGGGGGGACGGGAACCATGAAATTCACAATTTTTGTTCCCCTTTAGTCATAGATGCTATCTCCAAATATTGGTTGAAATTGGTTCAGAGGTTCCAGAGAAGAAGCTGAAAATTTTCAAATGTTAACGCACGACAAACGACGACGGACAAAACAGATAGCAATAGGTCACCTGTGTGACACACATGGCCTAAAATATATTTTTTCGTGAACTTTTAGAATTGAAAAATGTCTTTCTCAGAGTGGAGGATTGTCCTTGCATTATACGCCCCCATTCTTTAAGTGATACAATTAGAGCAGAATTAAGATATATTAGTAAAAGGATAATATTGAAGTTCCAGCTTCGCTTGTTCTTGTTTAAAATATTCCATTTTCAATCTTTTTGTCTGCAATACTAAGTAATTTGCACAACTGTAGGCGGATGAAGGTAATTAACACTTTTCCTTATTCCATTTCCTCAAATGTAGGAATTCGCCTCTTCCTGGCTTGAATGCAGATTTAAGTGAATCATAAAGTCTCTCAATGCAGGCATTGCATGGCTGAACCATATGACACATCAATGCAGGCATTGACCGTCTCCACAGTCAATGTAGGCATTGGCTATTTCACAGTCTGGCAATGCAAGCATTGGCTATTTCACAGTCTGGCAATGGAGGCATTGGCTATTTCACAGTCTGGCAATGCAGGCATTGGCCAACCCCATAGTCTTTGTCAATACATGTACAGGCTTTGACCGACTCCACAGTCAGTCAATGCATTGTAAGACTCTGTCAAGAGCCAACGCAGGCATTGAGAGACTTTCTCAGGGATCAATGCAGGAATTATGAGACTTTCTGGTACTGGAAGACTCTGGTATTGGAATCAGGTAGTCGGTCAGTGCAGACATTTGCCAACTCTACTATCGGTCAATGCAGGCACTTGCCAACTCCAGAGTCGGTCAATGCAGGCATTGACCCTGGGGCCATGAAATTCACAATTTTGGAGGACTCACTCTTCCTCATCATAATTATGTACTTAGTTCATCGGCTTAATACCCAGGAGCAGAGGAGAAGATTTTTAAAGATTTAATGCATTTAACTATATAATCATTTGAGCCCCGCCATAACACCAGAACCCCTGACACTGGGGCTATGAAATTCACAATTTTGGAAGAGGTACTCTTCCTCGTCATAACTATGCATATTGATTGTTTGTTTGCTTAATACCCAGGAGCAGAGGAGAAGATTTTTTAAGAAATAATGCATTTTCACTATATATTCAACAAAGCCCCGCCTTAGCACCAGAACCCCTGACCCTGGGGCCATAAATTTGACAATTTTGGTAGAGAGCTCAATGCTTATTACAATCATGCCAACAGTTTGACTGCTTGGTGTTCAGGAGTAAAGAAGAAGAGTTTTAAAGATTGCATTAATTTTAGTAGTTTTGGCCCCACCCCTCAGGCGTCAGAGGGTAGGGACTATGAAATTCAAAATTTTTGTTTCCCTTCACTCATAGATGCTATGGGCCAAAATTAGTTGAAATTGGTTGAGCGGTTTCAGAGAAGAAGCTGAAAATGTTCAAATGTTAACACACGACGCACGACGAAAACAGATAGCAATAGTTCACCTGAGTAAACTCGGGTGACCTGTTGCTAAAAAATTGTAGGTATCCAGGCATTTGGAAAAAAATGCATGATTTTAATACTTATACAGTACTTAAGTTTCTTCTGTGTACTTCAATTATTTTATAATGCATAGTTTATAAAGTGCTTTCTAACATTGCAAAACACCATAAATCGTTTCTAATTTCAAATCATGCTAATAAGCATTGGTATCCAAGGCTAAATTAAAGGAAAAGTTGATTTCTTTAAATTTGTATATTTAACATACATTTAATAGGGTGAAAATACCAACGTTAAAAGAATGTTTCTAAAACTTGAAAAAACCTTGAATCACATTGAGATGCATTGAATAAAAATTGTTGCATGAAAAGATTTATGCATCATTTTGAGACTTTCTGAATTAAAATAATAAATTAAAGAGTTATCCTTCCTGGCTGAGTATCGGATATTCTTTAAAGAATTGCGACGAATATTTCTTTCTCGTTTCTAAAGAAATGGGCGTGTCACTATGTAACAACTGTCGTTCGATAAGAAAGACCCAAACGTTCTATTAAAACGAAAAAAAATTCCACTTCAATGCGCTTCATTGTAAGATATATTGGTGAAAGGATAATATTGAAGTTCCAGCTTCGATTGTTCTTTTTTAAAATATTTTTCCATTTTCAATATTTTTATCTGTAATACTAAATAATTTGCACAACTATAGGCGGATGAAGGTAATTAACACTTTTCCTAATTCCATTTCCTCAAATGTAGGAATTTCGCGTCTTCCTGGCGTGAATGCTGATTTAAGGTATGTCACTCGTCAGCTTTTTAGAAAAGTTCAGGCAGAACCTCTTACTTCAAAACTATTTATTAAAATTCAATTTTCATAATATATTTAAATGAAACAATGTAAATTGTTCAACATTCAATGAAAAAACTGCTCAAAAACTCATAAAGAACCAAGATTTATGAGGGACTATTTCTTGTGGTGGAAGGATATTTAGCAGAAAATTCGGCATACTTGCACATTTATTAAATTTAATATCTTTGAACTTTAGCCTCACATTCTTTTACTCAGAGAATATTTTCCGTTATGATATGCTAGGAATATTAAATATAGGTCTCAATTTATATTTTTATAACAAATTTTACACCTTCCCTCCACAAACTTTGCCGAGAAATGAAGATGTATTAAGGAAGTCAAGATAAAATTTAAACCGTTTTTTGCCTGAAAATCGCATATTTTGACCAATATTTCAAAATTTACATCACTGACCCCAACTTTTTCTTTCATTATTTTAAACTACTCGATACTTGTGACTGATCAGCACTCAAGTCGTAAAAAGTTTGATACAAGAAAATATTTTATTGCCTATTTAGATTCTTAATACCCCAAATATGTTACTTTTTTAGTGCAAAAAGGTCACACAATAATTTACGCGCATTAATTTGCAAGATTTGTTCAATGATAAATATTATTCAAACTTTTTTACGTAAAATAAGATTATATTTATTGCCATGGTTACATCTGATAAAATATGATAAAGGTTAAAGTGATTAACCAAAGAGTTAAAATTTAAGTGCAAAAAGGTCAACTTATTTGTACCGTAGCTCAGTAAGATGCACACTGACCCCCTGTTTTCTCTGCGATTTTGAGTCATACTATATGAGTACTTATCCAAAATATACTTCTCAAAAAATCCTTGATATAACATATTTCACGAGTGACATAAGTGAATCATAAAGTCTCTCAATGCAGGCATTGGCTGAACCATATGACACATCAATGCAGGCATTGACCGTCTCCACAGTCAATGCAGGCATTGGTTATTTCACAGGCATTGGCCAACCCCATAGTCTCTGTCAATACATGTACAGGCTTTGGCCGAGTACACAGTCTGGCAATGCAGGCATTGGCCAACCCCATAGTCTTTGTCAATAAATGTACAGGCTTTGACCGACTCCACAGTCAGTCAATGCATTGTAAGACTCTGTCAAGAGCCAACGCAGGCATTGAGAGACTTTCTCAAGGATCAATGCAGGCATTATGAGACTTTCTGGTACTGCAAGACTCTCTGGTATTGGAATGAGGTAGCCGGTCAGTGCAGACATTTGTCAACTCTACTATCGGTCAATGCAGGCATTTGCCAACTTCAGAGTCGGTCAATGCAGGCATTGGCTGATTCACAGTTAGTTAAAACAGGCATTCGCCGACGCCATAGTCTGTCAATGCAGGCAATTCCTGCAATGACTCTTTTTGAGAGTTGTATGCTCTTGAGAGAGTCTCTCGCGTAAGAGTGTATAGGGCGCGGATCTAAGAAGTCTGATTTTAATTAGATTGTTTAAATTTAAGAATGTTTGAACTGGTTTTAATCTGAATAATACCATGTAGATTTCAATTTATTTTATTTTTTGATTTAAGGGCAGATCACTTTATTTGCATTAAAATACCACAGAATCAGAACTTTTTAGTGTGCAGTGTAGACAGGGTTCTTAAGAGAGTTGGGCTATGTCTGCATTGGTCAACGATGAACAATTTCCCTAAGCAAATAGTTTTGAAATAATTACATCGGCTTTAGTATTTAAAAACATAGGTAATCAGAGATTACAGAGCTCACCTCAACGAATGTTGTCTTTAAGTAAGGCAGAGTCCCACATTAAATTAATAATCTAGGAGTGTGCATCCCTAGATGCAACATTTATGCAATTTTGGTCTGATAGGGCTTGCAGTTACTTGGGAATAGACTTATCTGAAAACTTAAAACTAGTCACTCATCCAGAAAATGTAAGTCAAATCCAGCATCCGAAGCAAGTTTTGAGATTGTTCGTCCCTTGATGCATCATCCATGCAAGTTTGGTTCAGATAGGCCTTATAGTTACTTGGAAATGAGATCTGCTCCAAAAACTTTAACCTGGTTACTCATCCCGAAAATGTAGGTCAGATCCAGCATCCGAAGATAGTCCAGTGGTGTGAATCCTTAGATGTATCATCCATGCAATTTTGGTCAATATAGGGTTTATAGTTACTTGGAAATGACATCTGCTCCAAAAACTTTAACCTGGTCACTCATCCGGAAGATATAGGTCAGATCCAGCATCCGAAGCAAGTCCAGTAGTGTGCATCCTTAGATGTATCATCCATGCAAGTTTAGTCAATATAGGGCTTATAGTTACTTAGAAATGAGATCTGCTCCAAAAACTTTAACCTGGTTACTCATCCCGAAAATGTAGGTCAGATCCAGCATCCGAAGCAAGTCCAGTAGTGTACATCCTTAGATGTATCATCCATGCAAGTTTGGTCAATGTAGGGCTTATAGTTACTTGGAAATGAGATCTTCTCCAAAAACTTTAACCTAGTCACTCATCCGGAAAATGTAGGTCAGATCCAGCATCCGAAGCAAGTCCAGTAGTGTGCATCCTTAGATGTATCATCCATGCAAGTTTGGTCAATATAGGGCTTATAGTTACTTGGAAATGAGACCTGCTCCAAAAACTTTAACCTGCTCCAAAAACATTAACCTGGTCATTCTTTAGCTGAAATTGCAGCATCTGAAACCTTGACTGGTACAATGAAACACACTAGAAGCATCCTCCATGCATCTCTGACTAATATAGGCCATAGAAGTACTTGAAAAGAAAACTGCTCCAAAAACCTTAACCTGGGACGCCGACGCCAAGGGTATTACATAAGCTCCCCCAACTTCGTTGAGGTGAGCTAAAAATCAAACAAGTTTAGAAATTGGTGATTTATACTAGCAGGAATTACCCAAATAATTTTTATTTTCGCTAAAGAGTCACATTGCAACTTGTCACATTGCAAGTTTATTCATTTCCCTAGTATCCAAATAGATTTTGTATTCCTTTTTTATCAAATCTGATCAATCAATTACATTTATACCAATTTTAATTGCACATGTGATAAACAAATCAGAATAGGAAAAATTGCAAGGAATTGAATGGACACTTTGTCAATGATTGTGTAAATACTAAAATCAATTTCGAAAATAAGTAAATAAGACCATAACTTTTTTTGCAGTCTACTTCTGTGATCACAAATAACTTACTTTAGATAATTTATTAATGAAATGTCAATCACTTTAGAAGTAGGAACCAAGATTTCTTTCCATATCACACAAAACATTGGTCTTTCAAAAATTAAAAAAAAATTATTCGGACAATTAAAGAAAAAAGTATAAAGTTTAGTCTTATAAACTTGAATTATTACATTTCGCGTTATTGCATTTTGTGTTGATCTTGACACAGCATGCAAAACTCAAAATGTAATCATCGCTGTTTAATCATATTTTCTACTGGAAAAAAGGTAATTTAAACGCTTTTATAATCAATAAAAATTTCATAATAATTGGTCTCTCTCCAAAGTACTATTGCATTTTCCACTGAAATGTTTTTGCGTTGGTCACAATTTTAAGAGTTTTTTTTTTTTTATTTTGCATTGCTCTCAACGCAGAATGTAATAACGCATAATGTAATAATCGATCTATTGTTATTTTTACTGGAATGAAGGAAATATAATTACTTTCAATCAAGAGACGTTTCTAAATACCTCAAAATTTTACTTTCTAGATAAATCAGAGAATTTTTTTCCTGATCTAGAGCTCTGTGTTACCTTCTATTATCTATGTTGACAATATATTTAGCTCGGTTGCACCCCGGAAAATAGTTGCTCCCTTATTTCGGTTTTTATTGTCAACCAAAACGTTTTTAATTTGCTGATTAAATTGTTTGACTTCTATATAATTTTTTTTAACTTAAGGTGTTTCATGATTCAGGGGCCGGTCTTGAAATGTCTCGCTAGGAAGCTTGAGTTTCTATATTGTAGGATAAAGTCCTTACCAGCCGTCACATACTGATCCGCTAGTAGAAGTTCTGTACACGTTTCTGTACAGTCCATATAGGTGGCCACCTCGTAACAGTAAGCTCTGTTGTGATTGGCGCTCTTTAGTCCTCGGCATTTCGGCAAATCTGCAAAAGGAGACAAAATCAAAATTTATATGCATTAGATAAGCAATTTCCTGATGGTGGGATTTCCAATATAAATCAACCTTCTGTTTTTATTAATTATTCTTTATTCTCAATTCTCTCAGTGTATACTTGATAACCTTGACTGAATAAAACATAGGTAATCAGAGATTACAGAGCTCACCTCAACGAATGTTGTCTTTAAGTAAGGCAAAGTCCCAAACTAATAATCTAGTAGTGTGCATCCCTAGATGTAACATTTATGCAATTTTGGTCCGATAGAGCCTGCAGTTACTTGGGAATGGACTTACCTAAAGACTTTAAACTAGTCACTCATCCAGAAAATATAAGCCATATCCAGCATCTGAAGCAAGTTTGAGAGTGTAAATCCTGTGATGCATCATCCATGCAAGTTTTGGTTCAGATAGCCCTTATAGTTTACTTTAACCTGGTCACTCATCCGGAAAATGTAGGTCAGATCCAGCATCCGAAGCAAGTCCAGTAGTGTGCATCCTTAGATGTATCATCCATACAAGTTTGGTCAATATAGGGCTTATAGTTACTTGGAAATGAGACCTGCTCCAAAATCTTTAACCTGCTCTAAAAACTTTAACCTGCTCCAAAAACATTAACTTGGTTATTCTTCAGCTGAAATTGCAGCATCTGAAACCTTGACTGGTACAATGAAACACACTAGAAGCATCCTCCATGCATCTCTGATTAATATAGGGCACATATGTAATTGAAAAGAAACTGCACCAAAAACTTTAACCTGGGACGCCGACGCCGAGGGTATTACATAAGCTCCCCAAACTTCGTTGAGGTCAGCTAAAAACCTTATATACATCAGTACATATGTGCCCCCCCCCCTCCATGTAGATAAAACGTCGTAGAAACTCTAATTGACTAAGAAATGTCATACATGTCATTCGACATATATCGTGAGATAATGTTTCAAAGACTTCTACTGAAAGATAAACTCGATAAGTGGCTTCACATGTAATTTTTGTCTTGCGTGAAACTAAAAAAAAGAAAATTTTTTAAAAAATTGAAAAAGGATTTTACAAATACCAGGACTTAGAAAAACCACTAATCATTCATAGACATTCTACTGCTAAAGGGAATTGTACAAGTATCTAAATGTGGCATGTGCGATTTAACCAAATATTCCAGAAATATGGGACACAGTGACTGAAATCGGACTGAAACTGTAGGAGGGGGAGTGTTTTGATTGTTGATTGATTGTATGTTGTTTTACGTCCCATTCGAGAATTTTTCACTCATATAGAGACGTCACCATATACCGGTGATAAGTTTCAAATTTTGACCTTTACTCGGCACTCAGGGCCATTGAGCAGTGAGGGATCTTTATCGTGCCAACGCCTGCCGTGACACGGTGCCTCGGTTTTTAAGGTCTCATCCGAAGGACCCGCAACTTTCACTTCAAAGTGCTGAGCGCATGGCGAAGGAACAGTTGCTACCCATTTTTTATCGACTTAGGTCTGTCGCGGCCGAGATTCGAACTCACGACCTCCCGATCACGGAGCGAGCGCTCTACCGACTGAGCTACCGTGAACGGTGTTTTGAAAGAATTTCAAGAGTATTTAGTGTAGTCTACTACTGTATCAAGTTATATTTTTGTCGGACTAAAACTGTAGGAAGAGTAGCATTTTGAAAGAATTTCACAGAAATTAATATTTTTAGTAACCATGAAAACACCGTTCATCGAAATCAAAAATCTTTAATCAGAATTATTGCTAGCGCTCTCGAGCGCTAGCAACTACGTTAGTCTATATTTCTGAAATACGCATGCTCGACTTCACGGTCGGGGATTCTGGGAAAACTACTGTAGATAGACTGCACGATAACAATTTCGTTTTGTCATTCAAAAATAGAAATGATCCGAATTTCAGGCCTTTCCTGTCTGATATGCGCGATATACATTTCGTAGGTTAGAGACAGACAATACCAGTCTAGATCCGGATTCTGAATTTTTTAAAATTTATTGTCTAACCTACACATAAAAGTACAAGAAAAAATTTGGCCATATAATGCCAAGATTCTAGACATCTAGCTTTCCTTACAGTTTTACCACCTTAGTGGAAAATTCCGGGAAGCTCGGAAAAACAACAACAACAACAACAAAAATCTTTTTCAGAGTATGTCGGAAAGACATGTCAATTTAGTGTTTATCATCTGAAAATACATATGATCTGAAGTTTCGTGTTTTGTTGTCTAACCTGCACGTAAATGAACAAAAAGTAACAGTATCTCTGGTCTTATAAAACCAAGACTGTTATTTCTAAAGTTGTAATGAATACATAGCTTTTCTAATCTACCTTCATGGATCTTTCCGGCAAGCTCGGAAAACCGGGGCAACCTCGGATATGTTTTCCGAGCTTGCCGGAAAGGCCCGAAGGTTCTCATTGGTTCTACTGACCTTTTATTTTTCACCTCGAAATTGAAATTACAGTAAAATACAAAATGCTTAAAGCACAGTTAGGAGTTATGCCATTGCCGACGTTAAGCACACTCTTAGATTCACCATTCTGAATTGTGACCCCCCTCCCCCCCCCCCCCCCCCGCCAAACTCAACCCCCAGTGCACCAATCTGCCTTCCTATTAATAATTAATCGATTCAGCAAATTTAACAAATGGTTCAGATATCTTTTTCTGTATTTTATTATGCTACAGCGCTAGCTCACCAATCTTTTTAAAAGATAAGCTTGTGTATCTTAGTGTAGTCTACTTGTGTACCAAGTCATATTGAAATCGGACCAAAACTGTAAGAGGCGTAGCATTTTTAAAAAAAAAATGTTTACAGACAGACAGACGGTTGAATGGACGACGGACACCTCACTATAACTATTACTCTCTGACCAGTAGAGCTAAAAATTAAGTCAAGGATCATAGGGAAGATAATCATCATAAAATTATGACATCGTTGAATTGCTGTTACCATTTATGCCAATGTATGAATTTTGATGAGAAAATATCTATAGATTTATTGGAAACTTAAACTCAAAATAAGGAATAGTGAGGTCAAGTGCAAAGGGAATGTCAAGGTTACCTGGAAGGTCAGGAAATTATAATCGGCTTAAAAGTTCCCACCAATATGTATCAGTGTATGAATTTTGATGAAAATATTTTGAAAAGTTTCTTTGAATCTGAAATACACGTACTGTGCCGGACGGAAGTACAGAAAGACGGAAGAAGAACATGACAAATTTTTGTTTCTTTGGCCAGCTCCAACTTCTATTCAAGTTTGAACTGTATTCTAATTGTTGTAGCCACAACACAGTTACAAACTCACAGTAACTTTGACCGTGACCTAATGACCCTCAAATGAACAGGTATATTCTCGTTAACCTAATACTTCTTCAGCAAGTTTAAGACTGAAAGTACAACATTGTAATAAATTCAGGATACAACATTGTAATATATTCAGGATACTTTGACCTTGATCTTTGACTTCAAATGAAAAGACGTGTTTCTCTTGTCATCGACCACTCAATAACAAGTCTGAGACTAAATGGTCAGAGAGTACTCTACATATTGTGTACAAAAACATTGCTAAGAAGATACCCTAAGATTGATCTGGACATTCGGGCACTCAAACAAATACGCATATCTCTGGTCACTTGCCACTTCTATACCACTGCAAATTTGAGACTGACAAGTCAGCTCTTTATACATCGTGTCCACAACAATGTTAGGGGTGCTCGAACATAATTCTTGAACCTCAATAACGACTGCGACCAATTTCGAGATTATTTAAGTGTAGAAAGTATGTCGTACCTCTTCAGTAAAGTTATTTAAGGAGACATTGTCTATGATTATGACATTTTATATAATTTTGTTTAATTGCTCCACTGTATATTGCAAAAATATTAGTACTTAAACTGAAGCATTTGAAAAAAAAAAACAAAAACAAAACATTTACATCCACTGAAGATTTATAAATTTATTATTGTTTTTAAAGTCTCAAAATGAAGCTTGAAATTAAGATCCTTTTATGCAACAATTTTCATCTTATGCATGTCAATATGATTCAAGGTTCTTTGAAGTCTTAGAAATGGTCTTGTTAAAAGTTGATATTTGTACCCCATAAAAGAAAAATAATTTCATTTTTAGAGAAATCGAATTTGCTTTAATCTAGCATTAGATACCAATGCTTATTAGTATGATATGAAATTAGATGTGATATGTGTGGTGTCTAGCAATGATAGCACAAGCTTTTAACACTATGTATTATATGACAATTGAATTAAGAGGAGAACTAAAATACTGTACAAGCATAAAAACGATGCAATTTTCTCCAAATGCCTGGATACCTATATTTTTTTACCCTAAATAATATCTGTTGATCAAATGCATAGCTGGTGTTTTTATTTGCATTTCCTGAAAATATATTTGAGATTTGATAATTTTCCCTATATGATATGATTAACCATAATGATGAACTTTGAAGAAATACCATAGGTAAATTCACGTTACTATGTGAAATCAGAGACGTTTGTGTGAGCAATTTCAATTACTAAAAGGCTGATTTCCAGAACCTGAGGATCGGACTACCTTAAGTTGTGTTATTGACTAATAAAATAACTTCTCCACTCTATTTTCAATTCTCAACATACTGTTTGAAGGATGTCAGTATGAGTAAAATCTTCAGCTTGAGTCGGGGTATTTCAAGTAAGAAAAAACTTAAGCTTGAAAAGGGGAGGAACGGGAGGTTAGGGGTACCCTCCACTTTCAAACAAATTCGCCAGAAGTACGGTTCATAACTTTAACAAATTTTCTGCTTGAACTAAGCACACACACATACACCCTCACACACATCCTCCCTACCCCCCCCCCCCCCCAGGACACAAGATATATGTATTTTTAAAATTATTCCACGTGTCAACCGATCTTGGGACAAACAGCTATATATCCGAGCAGAGAGGGATCCTCGACATACATGTACTTCTTGAAAGTGAAAGAATTTGTCCCCTTATCTAAAA